GCCAAAAATTCTGCATGAGAAAAAAAACGATAAGAAACAGCGCCCTCTATTGACACAGTCAGAAACCTTCTCGCACGCAATGAGTGCTTGCCAGATAATACTTTTTTAAGTTTCATTATTACATGCAAATTCTAGATTTTTGTAGGTATTTCTCATCAGGATGCCAAACCCTTTTCATTACAGTTTGTCCAACTTGAAATGATCAAGTTTTTTAGATCGAATGTTATGTATTAACTACATTAAAATATAGTTAAATTTACCCCCGATGAGAATCTTAGGGCAACATCTTTTAGTTGTGCTCCCACATTTATTTATCTATTTATTATTATTTTTTATTTTTTTTTTGGGGGGGGGGCAGATTTGTCGTTAAGAAAAATGGCCATATAAGGCCAAAAAAAAAAAGTCTCCGGTTTCTGGTATGCGCGCGCGTCGCCGTAGCCATGCGCGTCGGCAAAATGAAAAAGGTTTTTTTTTCAATGAAAGTTGATGTCTCAAAACCGCCAAACTCACTGGTTTGACTGGAATCCTGCTGCTGCACAATTTTAACGTGTTTTTAGATGGGGTTATGATCGAGAATAAGCTTTATGTGGCCTCTCTGGGCTCCAATATATTTGCACTAAGTTTAGTCGGACACCATTTGCAGTCATCAGCCGACATTTGAAGCAAAAAAGTAAGGTAAAAAAAAAAAAAAAAGCCGCGTCGCCGCACCACTTTTTGGACAAGCTCCATACCAGAAACCGGAGACTTTTTTTTTTGGCCTAATGAGGGTTTTTTTAACAGCCCCCCCCCCCTTTCGATAGCAGTGACGCAGAATTTGAATAAGGGATTATATACATGTATACATGTATCAGGTAAGTTGAAGCGTCTTATTACAAAATCACTCAAAAATGATATTTCAAGTTCTCATACATGTAGGCCTACTTAGGTTGATTTTAATTTTGATTACACCTTTCTAGCAAAATAAAAAGACTCATTGAAATAAAGACGGCAATAACTGCAAATACTGTTTTGGTATTTTTTTTAATTCAGGCGCAATGTGGTTTAAGTAATGGCCAAAAGAAATACAAATCAATTTAATATAATCTAATTTTATTTCATTTATTTATTTATTTATCTATTTATTTTTGTGGGGGGGGGGGCAATTTCAACATTCACAGTTTTTGCCCCCACAAGAAGAATGGTATTTAGATGACAAAAGTTTGTTCAATCTGTACTGAATGAAGTTAGTCGTTTATTTTCAACTTACAAAACGAGCTATATGAGCACCTGTTCACATCACAGGCCAATTACATAATTGGTGTAACATGCATCAAAAGTCTCATCAAATTGAAGGACCCACTTTTCTGTTTGCAAACCTTTTTAAGAAGAGAAAAATAGATTATAATCCCCTATTTGGCAGCTTTGAGTTGCAGTATTACAACTGCAATTTGTTTCAGCTGAAACCGTCTTACCGTTTTTATTATTTTGATTATTGTTTTAATGACCGATTGATGTTTTGTTGTTGCTCCATCCATTCCGTGAAAACCACCAACAAACCCCAACAGCCCACCCGCTTCCTTTTCTTAGGCTGCATCAAATTTGTATTACCTTTTTTTTTAAATTTCAGGCATAACATTCTGCTCCACCAGATGCCACGCATTTCTATTATTATTGAAAGCATGTTACTTTGAGATAAGAGTTCACAAAAATTATTCAGATCTGGGTTTTAAAAACTACGGATCCCCAAAAGGGACATCCAAAAAAAAAATTATCTCGTGCGCACGACATAATATCTCGTGCGCACGACATATATCTCGTGCGCACGACATAATTATCTCGTGCGCACACATAATATCTCGTGCGCACGACATATATCTCGTGCGCACGAGATAATTATAAGTATTAATGGTGCTTGCTGCACGTGCAGCGGACGAGTTTGTGTGTAACGAAAGCAGCGTGTCAGGCGCTTTACGCTATACATTTCAAGTCATATCAGTTAAAGGACGGGGATGTTTTTTTTAGGGGGCCGCCACCGGTGATTAATTTTGTCATGTTTTGCCTTTTTCTGAGAGAGAAGTGTTTTATGCAAAAAAGAACTGGTACGTGCTGGCAAAAATCAGGGAATTGGTGGACAATAACAAGAAAATTGCCGACGTGAATTAAAATTGATTTAAAGGGGAAGGAAATGAGGATTTGTTATCAGCATCAGCAGTTTGAATGGATGCGAGTCAGACGGTCTTACTCCCCCTCCCATTTTAAACGATCGAAGTCTCATTATGAAGAATGAGTGGGAAGTAGCGAAGGATGGTCGACTTTAAGGTCTCTAAGGGTGGGAATAAAGTTAAAGCCCCTGCCCAGAGCAATCAGTTCAATGATTGACAGCTTTTTAGCCTTCAGAAGTGATTTTCTTTGCCTCATTTTTACGCTTTTTTGCAAATTACGGGACTGGTCAGATCTTTCTCCGGCTGCTTTTGGTTGGCTTTTGTTGATTCTCCTCGCCATGCCATGACTCCGATGGGTGTGTTTATAGTGGAGCTGCTTAGGTCAATAGATAATTATCTCGTGTGCACGAGATATATGTCGTGCGCACGAGATATATGTCCTGCGCACGTGATAATTATCTCGTGCGCACGAGATATTATGTCGTGCGCACGAGATAATTATGTCGTGCGCACGAGATATATGTCGTGCGCACGAGATATATGTCGTGCGCACGAGATATATGTCGTGCGCACGAGATATTATGTCGTGCGCACGAGATAAAAAAAATAAGTTTGGATGTCCCTTTAGGGGCTCCGTAAAAAAAACAGATCTTAAAACTTAAGATCCATGTTTATGTAGCTAATACATAACATGCGATCTTAAATTTAAAACTTGATCATTTCATGTGCGACCAAACTGTAACAAAGATATTTTGTCATCCCGATGAGAAATAACAAAAATCTAGAATATTATATGAACGAAGTATCATCTAGCATCTAACACGCACTCATTGGCAAAGTTCAGGCGAGTCTTGTTCTATATACGGGTATATCATATTCTTGCAAACCCCGACGGATAGGTGGTGTGAGATCCTGTTCCGAGTGCAGTGTTCGTGGGTCGTGTTCCCGCCGTTCGGGCGCGAGAACAATGAAAATACTCGCGTCAAGAACAGACCGCCCGAACTCAGACGGCCATTGCGTTAGAAAAGGTTTCTGACTATGTTAATAGAGGGCGCTGTTTCTTAAGTTTTTTCTCATGTAGAATTTTTGACGTTTTTGTCCCAGATTTTCTCATTGCCAAACAAACTATGGATCGGGAAACAAATTTTGTTTTCGATATGGTACACCATAATCTACATGTCTGTGAAGTTTTATAAAATTCGGCGAACCAGACAGCGTGGCGAGCAAAAAAAAGTCCTCGTCCCACGGACTACAAAGCCTTCGGTCGACTGAAAAAAAAGTTTCTTTATCTCCTTGATAACACCAAGATCATTGTCTACAAGACAGTTTTCAGCTCCAAAGATTTCCCGCTCCTTTAGCAATGGGAGGGACCCAATTAAAATCTTCTAGACAGGCCATCATGCTGGTTTCGAGTGATCGCCGGCAACATCAGGTAACATCAATCACGACAATCCTTAGTAGGACTCTTTCCGTTTTCATCTTTCGACAAAATATGAGCGTGTGTAAAAACTACATTTCATCCAATAGCAAACTTTTGTTTCAAATGTGTCAGTTCGCATTTTAACCTAATATGAAATTTAGTGAAAGTTTATTCCCAACCGCATTGTTCTGAGCATAATTATATCTCTGTTGGCGGCCACATGTACTGTCCACAAAAAAGGCCCAAACACTTCAGGCATTGAGAGATATGGCCGTCTAATTTGAACAATACAAAAGGCAGAATTTTAATCGAAATACACAAAGAAAATGAGGAACTTTGCAAACCAAAGTGCAAATACAACTGATCACGATAAAAATACTGAAACAACGCAAACAAGCAATATTAATCACAATGGATTGCCCACGAAAGAACAGGTACAACATCCGCCCCTCTTTGCTTACTTTAAACTTTATAGCTACGAGTGCAGAAAGGTGCTATAACTTTAACCTGAGGATGTGACTTAAAGTACAATCTTTAAAGCCCATCAATTAATTACTCAATGATGAACGTGATGGTCAGAAGGAAGTCATAATGTCAACGAAAATTAAGTGAAGTGCAATAACAGGTGCAACAGTGCAAAACTTTCATTCCAATTCCGCAATTCGCATAAATACGGGCTGCGTTTTCACATTCCGTCCAGTTTTATAGCCAAGTATAATATTTTCACTCAAAAGTAGGCAGCGACTGACGTAACTTGTGCGTTTTATTTTCATGAGCTTTGGATTTGACTGGACTTTTGAGAATGTTTTGTAAAGGAATGCACAGCTTTCTCAAAGAAAATACATACGTTTGTGAAGGACATTTTTGAAAGGCATAACGGAACGTAAAACATAAAGTGTAAAGTCACTAGCCGATACAATAAAAAGGCGATAAAAATCGCATATCAACGAAAATGATATTTTATCGGTAATACGATTGACGTTTAGCGGAATGTAAATGCCAAATCAAGTTGACTCCGATTTCCATTTGCATGCACTTCCGTTAAAAACAATACTTCTATCAAATTTAACTACCGGCTGCGAAATTGAAAACGCATGAACAATACGGGTTTTCCTTACACGAACAATTTTTACCACGCGGTCATTTGAAAACATTTAGATGATATTGAATCCTCTTACTACAGGTGAGAAACCGTATCGGATTTGTACCCGGCTCACTAAAATCTCGTGAATGAACAATGTGCGAAATTGGACGGTACAATGGAACCTTAATTTGATCCGAATCTAGTTTTTCAAATTCGGATCAAATTAAAGTTCCATTTTGTACGTTTTACCGTCCAATCTCGCACCTTGTTCATTCAAAGCAATATGTTTGCTTACATAAAACGCAAGGATATGGCTCCTACTCATTGAAGAATTACATGTATCCATATATTACAGATGAATCGTTTGGGCAGAGGTTGCCGCCTCTATACATCTATTTGAAGAGGGTTCTTGACAAGTATCCTGAAGGTGGACAAATACTGAAGGTAACTTTCGTGGCTCTTCATGGTTTTTGATAAGTTCCCGTACAAAATCTGAACTTGAATTTATACAAAGGTGGACACTATACTAAAAACTATTTATTTGCATTGCATGTGTATTATTAAACGGTTCCAGTTATTGTTGTCAACAAAACCGGTTTTGTTAAGCACATCAATGCTTTAAACGTATTTATTACATTAATTTAATCTTCAAGGGTTTGGAACGAGCCTACCCTACAACTGTCTTAATAATGAACCGTCTTATTCCCGATCGGATTACTCTATCAACCACTAAATGTTGGGTCCAGACGATCGATTTATAGTGAAAGAAATAATCTAATATTAGACTTAAAGAGTAGGGAAAAAATTCGAGATATTGTTTATATCAATTCGATTGATAGCATTGACTCGAACGTGTCATCCCTTGAGAGATTTTGCTTTGCAGTTACAAAAAATGCACAATAATGACAGATAGGTCTCTGCTCCGTTGTCGTCGATGGCATCACCACTAATATTGTCAACATGATTGATTTCAGGAGCTTGTTCAGAATGCAGACGATGCGAAGGCGAGTAAGGTGGTGTTCCTCTATGACAAGACGGAGCATCCACGCCAGAGACTTTGGTCAGACACGTTGGCTGAATTCCAAGGCCCGGCTCTGTATGCCTACAATGATGCATCCTTCACAAAGGAAGACTGGAAGAACATCCAACACCCTGAACAGAGCGGAAAGCGTAAAGACCCAACGAAGGTTGGACGGTTTGGACTTGGCTTCATCTCTGTTTTCCATCTCACAGGTGAATTTATTAATAACAACAGACGGGTTAGTCTTGAGATGAAGTGCAACTTCATTCAAGAATAACTCCCGTGTTGGCTGAGGCAGATGGTCATTGAGTCTTTCCTGCCGTACTACACATATAGATGATTTAATTTGGAGGGAGAGAGAGTGAAGGTATGGTTTTGCATAATATCGTGGGGCATGTCCAAGAAATATCAGGAAATTGCCTTCACTAAACCCAAAGAATACGCAATGTCAAGTGGTTATCTCTGAAATGAGATATGATTCTGAAAAGACTGGTGTTTTTCTACTAATCACGTCTCTTAATGGAGATCATAACATCACATGTATCTAAAACCTCTCTGACTTTTACACTTCACCATGCAAAGCCTCAATTTGCAATCGTTTTACCCCCTTGGCATCGTCCTTCCGAGACATTGTGTCCAAAGCCTGCTTGATACATTTCATTAAAATGTTATTTACCAGAGTGTCTGTCCACTTATATCTTTCAGATATGCCTTGCATCCTGAGTGGGGATCAAATCGGATACCTGGATCCGCTGGAGGAGAACTTCACCTTTGACCCTAATACCAACACAAGGTATGTGGGAGAACGCGGTAAGAGCTGGAAATTGTCCCCTGCTCTGTTAAGTGAGTTTCCTGATCAGTTTTCTCCTTTCCTGACTGAGCTGTTTTCGTGCAGTGAAGGTAACTTTCAGAAAGGCTCGTTCAAGGGTACCATCTTTCGATTCCCACTGCGAAAAAGGAAATCTGAATTGAGTGGATCATTGTTCCACGATGAAGATCGCGTCATGGAGCTCTTTGAGTCTTTCCAAACTGATGCAGAGCTCTCTCTACTCTTTCTGAAGAATATTGAGTCCATTGCTGCATATAAAAGGTGTCGAAGTGAGGAACAACCTATACTCATCTTTAAGGCACAGATCGGTCAGGAAGACCGCCCTCAAGTGCGTAAAAACATGAAAGACTTCTTGAGTAAAGTTCCAGAGCGAAGAAATTTTCATGCTATTAGTTCTCTGCAAATAGAGAGCCAACTTGGACAACAGGCAGAACTGACTATCAGCAGATTTATCATCATCAACGCCTTGAAGAATATCAACACATCACCTGAACTCAACGCCCTTATCAACGATAAAGAGTTGAAGTTTCTGCCGTGGATGGGGATGTCTTTCCGAATCAGCTGTACCTTAGAGCAAAGTATGAACGAGCAAAAAGGTCGTGTGTTCTGCTTTCTCCCATTGCCAGACAGTGAGACGACTGGCTTACCTGTACACGTCCATGGCTATTTTGGTCTCGGTGATAACCGCCGGAGCATCAAGTGGCCTGATCAGGAGTCCCAGCACGACAAGAAAGCCCATTGGAACCACCTTCTTGTGACAGAAGTGCTCCCTGAGGTCTATGGCCGTCTGATTTTGGCTGCGATTGATAAAAATCGAGAGCAGCCAGATACAATGCTGCCTAGAGATGTATACAAAGGGTGGCCATGCATTGAAAATGTCAACAGTCAATGGTCAGATTGCGTCAAAAAGTTCTTACGATCGATAAAGGACGAGGCCATCTTCTACACGGATCAAGGCTCCTGGGCTAAGTCAGCTGATGTCTACATCAACACCAGAAATGATGATTTGATTTCAAAGGTGCTGGTCGAGAAGGGGTGCCTAGTGGCACAGCTGCCAAATCACGTCCTTGAATCACTAGATTGGGCAGGCGTGCCTTACAAGAGGGTAACACCAGAAATAGTAAGAAGCTGCATCCGTGGAGATCCACTGCGGTTCCTCAGCTGTGAAGAAAAGCTTGAGCTTCTCGAGTACGTCACAAGTGACGACATTTCTGATCTGAATGACCTACACTTACTCCCCTTAGCCAATGGGAAGTTTACGTCATTTAGTAAGAAAATGCCTACAGTATTCATTGACAACACCGACAATCCAAGCACGCTTATTCCATACGGAGAAGGGAGGTTTGCGGCGAGAGACATGCCTAATGTATTGAAAGATTCCATGGCTGAAAAATGCACTCAACTCAAGAGACTTTGCATCACAGATGTTGCACCATTGTTGCTAGAGATGCTTCCAAACACATGGAGTAACTTATCAGCAAGTGGAACTCTGCCATGGAGTCCAGGCATCAACCAACAGCCGTCTGTTGAGTGGCTGGAAATCATGTGGCAGTGGTTGACCAAAAACCACATGCAGGTGCATCTCAGTGCATTCAAGAATATGCCACTGATTCCCATGCCAACCAATCGAATGGCAAGACTAAAAGAAAACGGGTTAATATTTCAGCAAACGGCTACAGATCCAGATGGTCTATCAGAAGATGTCTGTTCATTCCTTGAGACTGTTGGCATAGTTGTCATTCGGCATACACTCTCTGATTATGTCACACGACACCCAGATCTCAACAGCTTTATAAAAGCTCCAACTCCCGAAGGTGTGATGGCAGTCCTGGAGACAATTGATCGCATTCACAGCACCCAACACATATGCCTTGTTGTTAAAGACATGTCCTTAAATGCCAAGGATGAGCTTCGAGGTTTGTTAGCCCAGCCTCATTGGAAGGTATTGCCACACCAACAAGACATTCTGAGACAGTTACCACTGTTTGTGGCAAGTTCTGGTCACTACATTTCAGCCAAAAGTGGTATAGCTGTTGTTCCAGTCGACATGTTTGGTATACCGGTTGATGTCTTGAAAGATGGTGCGAAGTACATACTCAAAAGAGATATCAGCGACAATCTTGCATTGTCATTACAGGTTCCTGTGCTTTCTGTTCGTGAACTGCTAGCCGAAAACATTCTCCCCTCTGTGGCTGCTAGATTTTACGGTCCCGATGATTCACTTAAGATTATGGCCTGGGTACTCGAGAGGCCAGAATTTGATGATCTTATCAGGGAGGTACAGTTTATACCCTTGGCCACTGCCTCCCAACAGCTGTCGTGCCCCAATAGGTTATTCGAGCCCACCAAAGTACTTCAGGTGCTGTTGAAAAATCAGGACGTGTTTCCCACAGGTGCCTATGCTGAAGGTAAACTACTCAAGTTCTTGAAGCGGGTCGGTTTGAAAAACCAGACTGATATTACAGCAATGGATGTGTTACACGCTGCAGTCCAGTTGTCTGAAACTCAAGCTACGGGGCAGGCAGATGTAGAGAGAGGACAGGTTCTGTTAGACCACATCAATGAACACCCGCAAGTCTTATACGTCAGAGGCACAAGTGGGAGGACCAAGGAGCCGTTGTTCAAGGTTCTTGGAAACAAATGTTGGGTTCCGTGTGCAGCCTCGCCGCCTGCAGACTATCCTGTGGCTGCTGGATGGATGGGAAAATCAACACGTCTTTACTCACCGGAGACCGTTGGTTCGATAGAGTCAGCTCTGTTTTATGGTTCTGTTCTCCCTCTGGTCAACTTACCTAGCATCAGCGAAGAAGTGCAACGCGCATTCGGTTGGAGAAAGAATCCGTATCCTAACATTCGGCAACATGTTGAATATGTTGTGCATCACTTGAAGAACATTGCCAACACATCCCAGTCTGCTCATCAAGATTCGTACACAGTTTCTAAATCAGCATCTGTGATTTACCAATTCCTGAGCAAAGCATCAAACCCAGACGTTCGTGCCTTTTTCAAAACACACATGAATCTGTCACAACCTTGGGTTTGGCACGGCTCGGGATTTACAACACCAGACAAAATAGCACTGGGTGTTGGTAATCTTGGCGTCAGTTTGGTACCCTACCTTCACATCGTACCGAAGGAAATGCAGAAATACAGCGTTTTCTTTTCCAACATGGGTGTCAATCAAACATTTCAAGAAAAGGAACTAAGTACAGTTCTCCTCAGTGTGCAGCATAAGCATCAATCTGAGCTGGTGCCTTCAGAAGAGGACTATCAGACAGACTTAAATCTCATTTCCAACATCCTGAGGTACATCGTTGACCAGAACTTTAAAACTCATTCCACCAAGATCCTGGTACCATGCAGAACACTGAGAACAGACGGTGAGAGACGACTGAAAATGGTACCGGCTGTTGAATGCCTGTATGTAGACGAAGAGAGACTGGCACATCAGCTGTATGATGAGGACACCAAGGAAGAATTTGATACGCCAGTTATCCATGAGTCAATATCAAACGATTTAGCTCGACGCTTGGGATTGCTTCCTCTTAGCCACTTCCTTGCACCAGTAGATGAAGTAGAATTTGAAATGGCTGGACCCCACGAGACAACAGTAAACGCTATCAAGCGGAATCTGGACATGTACAAAAACAATGTAGACATATTCAAAGAGTTGATACAGAATGCTGACGACGCAGGTGCAACGGAGGTCAAATTCCTCCTTGACTGGCGCAGGAATGAGCAAACTGCTTATAACCTACTGAGTGACAGCATGAAAGAGTGTCATGGGCCGGCTCTGTGGGCTTACAACGATGCCTGCTTCTCCAAAGACGACATCAAAAACATCTGTAGCATAGCTGCGCAGAGTAAGAAGCACCAGCTGGACAAAGTGGGAAGGTTTGGCCTGGGATTCACGTCAGTTTATCACCTTACAGACATCCCCAGTGTTGTCAGTGGACCCTATGTCCTTATCTGTGATCCTAGAACAATCTATCTTGGATCACGTGTCAAGGCGGGACAGCCAGGCATCAAGCTGGATTTGACAAATGGACGCCATCGTAAGACTCTGAAGAGTTACCCTAACCAGTTTCAATCCTACAACGGCATCTTTGGTTGTAACCTTCTGGCATCAACCACACATTATAAACACACACTGTTCCGACTACCACTACGTACAGTGTTTGGAGCCGACAGTCAGCGACCCAATCAACTATCAGACTTCATCTGTGACTCTAGGGACAGAATTAAGCCCTTAATAGAATCCCTAAAGAAGTCGGCAGAAACTCTTCTCCTATTCACTCAGAACATTGTCCATGTCAGTCTTCATGAACTTTCTGGAAATGATAGTGTAATGGAAGATGTCATGTCTGTCACAGTATCCAGACTTCAGCAAATGCCCCGATCGATATCACATGCTGCAGACAAAGTAGATGACATCAGGACTGAACGCAGTCTCCTGAAGGCTACAACGGAATGCATGGGAGACCCTACCATGCCAGTTCCAGAAACAACCATGATCCTGGAGATCACCCAGAAGATACATGGAACACTTGAAAACATCGAAACTGCAGACATAAACAAAGACTCAGTGCACTACATCACCAGTTCCTGCATGTCAAGGGGAAATATATCAAAACTAGCCAATACCCCCGAAGGTCTAAAAGCTGCAGTTCTGCCCTGTGGTGGAATTGCTGCTCAACTAGTTGCTGGTGAAGGAGGCTGCTTAAAGCTTAAACCTGCAAAGGGAAGTGCATTCAGCTATCTACCTCTAAATGTCTGGACAGGCTTACCCTTCCAAGTCAACGGTAGTTTCTTACTGCAGCCAAATCGTCGACAACTGTGGGGCAAATCCTCGTCAGGAACGGAGGAATTTGAAGTGCGTTGGAATTGCTGCTTCATAGCGTCAGTATTGTGCAAAGCATTACTGAACCTGCTTCAAGATCTGCAGGGGCTGCAAGAAAAGGGTATTGTGGATGCCCGCAATTTTCAGAGTCTTTGGCCAAAAAGGATGGTATGCGACAGTAACTTCCACCCCTTGGTGGATGCTTTCTACCAAAGAATTGGAATGGAAAACAATGCCCCAGCAGTGATTTGTGACGAAGGTCGTTGGCTAACAGTGCATGACTGTTTCTTCACTGCATGGGAAACTTGTGATCCCGAAAGCTTGAGATGCAGTATAAAAGCCCTACTAGCGAAGAATCAGGACCCCAAGAAATGGGTGGAACTGGAACCAGATGTGATCAGCAGCATATCAGCAGCAGGGGAAAACAGATGGTTTGATGACAACACCTTCAGTGTCAAACGATTCCTGAGAGAGATATTCTTTCCGGCATTCGAAGATTCTCAACACATTGAGTCCGACCATCACAAGGAAATAATTCTACATGTGCTGGATCTTCGTCTTGGTGGAAGGAAAGTAACAACTTATGATGAAGAGTTGCGGACAACAAAGTGTGTACCCGCTTCCCCCTCTGGCAACGAACTAAAGCGTCCTGACCAGCTAGTCAACCCCCGTACATCCATCGGATCATTGTACAGCGAGGACAACTGTCGGTTTCCACACGGTAGTGAATTCCGCAAACAGGCACGCCTACTATCCTTGTCACAGCTTGGGATGGCCACGGATGACTTGTCTTGGGAAGATATTTGTGAACGAGCCGAGTCAATGCTGAAGGATGGTCAGTGTGAGAGGAGGAGTGCAATACTTCTAAAGCTGATCAGCAAGAAGCTTACAAAGGCGGACCAGCCCACCTCAGAGCAGAAACGGCGAATCCAACAGGCAAATTTCCTTCCTGTCCTGAAAATACCCGATGGTTACCCAGCCAAGTGGTACACTTGTGAAGATGAGTTTATGTCTGCCGCTCGATTGTACGCGAGTTGTCATAAGGATTTGTTGGGTTCTGTTCAGCCGTTATTAGACGAGAACAGACTTGCATTGGAAACGATTGGTCCTCAGACCATGGACTTTCTTGGTATTCACAAGAAAGAAGTTGCAGTCACTGATGTCGTACAGCAACTTACTGAAGTCATCAAGGAAGCATCTGGAGTCATGCCACAAACATTGTCTATGTCATCTAGCATATTTTCCTTTCTCCAGAAGGAAGTTTGTGAAAGCCATTTCTTGCCGATACATGGATCGGTAAAAGAGAAACACCGTGCTGCATTTGATAAACTATGCACAATGAGATTTGTTTTGTGTGAAGGAGCATTTCGAGAGTGCAAACAGCTAGCCTTTGAGTACAGCGGCCCAAGTGGACCGTATCTGTTCCGAGTCCCTCCTGAACTAATCCCATTTAAGAACCTGCTGAAGCTTTGTGGGATAAGGGACAAGTTTGAGGTGAACGACTTTCTTCAAACGCTACAGAAATTGAAGACAAAATATGAAGACACTCCACTTCCCAAGTCCGATCTTAAAACTGCTAAGGCGATGATGTCTGAAATTGTTTCAAAGTCGGCAGCCGATTCTGATGGAACAAGAAATATCTTGGAAGGTGCTAAGATATACATCCCTGACAATCGTGGCGTCTTGCGGACAACCTCAGAATTAACGTTCAATGACGTAGACTGGGAAGGAAGTTGGGGAAACAATGTGTACACGCATTCAGGTATGTCCTTCAATGATGCAAAGGTTTTTGGCATCATCACACAGAGAGAGAAGCAACTTGAGACATGTTCTTCTTCCAGTGGCTTCGAAATGGAATTTGGGCAACAGGAAGAACTGACGGACCGTCTGAGTGGTATTCTAAGATCCTATCCTAATGTATCTGACGTTTTCAAAGAGGTCCTTCAAAATGCTGATGATGCTGGTGCAACTGAGATACATTTTGTACACGATCCCCGCAGTCATCCGTCTAAAAAAATCATATCAAAATCCTGGGCTGCTGTACAACAACTCCCATCTTTGTGCATCTATAATGACAAGCCCTTTACTGAAGCAGACATTAAGGGAATTCAGAAGGTAGGAGTCGGGGGAAAGAGAGATGACATTGCAACAACTGGAAAGTTCGGCATCGGTTTCAATGCCGTTTACCATCTGACAGATTGCCCAAGTTTCATGAGCAACAGCGACACCCTGTGTGTGTTTGATCCCCTATTGAAGTATGTTCAAGGGACCCGAAAAACGTCCCCTGGTAAAAGGTTTTCAACTGCAGAGAAATTCAGAGAGTTGTACCCGGACATGCTGAGTGGATATTTGGAGGACATAGACGAAATCTGTGGAAAGAAAGGCACAATGTTTCGTTTGCCACTTCGAGCTCAGGCTTCCGTCATTTCAAGGAACGTTTACAGCTCCTCCGATATGTGCAGTTTGCTGGATGATTTCCAGAAGGTTTCCCAGGACGCCCTTCTCTTTCTGAATAACATCACCAAAATCACAATTTCTCGAATCGAGGAGCAGACGGGTAAAATACGACAACTGTTCAGCATCAACGCTACGTTGGCAGATGAGGACCGTCGGAGCCGTTTGAAACTCGTTGAACACCTGACGTTGTTCAACGAACACCCATGGCAAGAAATCGCACCCATGTCATGTGTGTACAGCCTCGAGACAAAGGACTCCAATGACAATTTGAAGTCTTGGTTGATTTCACAGATGCTGGGTTTCAAAGGTCTTGACGTTGATAGCCAAGTGTTGTCAAATGCTGCAGATTTAAAGAAGCCCCTCCCAAGAGGAGGTGTTGCAGCGCTGATGAAGGACAGTAGACAAGAAGACACGTGTGACCAGCAATGTACAGCCTACTGCTTCCTGCCATTACCTATTTACACAGCGTTGCCCGTACATGTCAATGGAACATTTGAGTTAGATGCTGCAAGAAAGAGTCTAAAGAAGGGTTGCGCTTATGAGGATGGTCTTATCCACCAGTGGAACAAGCTGCTTGTAGAGAATGTCATTGCCCCTGCATATGCCGAATTAATAACACATGCACGCAGAACAATGCTAGGGGAAACTTCTCATAAAGATCAGCTCAAACAATATGACGACATCTTCCCTAAACATCTGGAGGTAGTGCATGGAGAGTGGCGCCTGTTAGCTGAGGCAACCCTCCGCTATATCAGCGACAATAATTTGGAGGTTCTGCCGGTGGTAAAACCCACATCCGGCAACATCAGCTGGCACCACCCGAACAGTGATTTGAGTCTGGCATTTTTCGATGACTTTGATGAGAATGTAGATTCCAGTGTCGATGTTACAACATCCAAACTACAAAGCAGCGCTGCTCTTTTGCGCCCATTCCTGCTCAAAGTTGGTTTCCACCTCTTGGCTAGCTCTCCTAAACTGTGTCTTGCATTTCAAGCTTGTGATGTCAAAGCAGAATTCGTATCTGCACAAGCTGTTGTGCATCACCTCTCATCCGAGTCTGTAATTACCCCAGAATTGCCAGCTCCACTGACAAAAACTGCATTCAAAGATTTGAAAACTTTCAAAGCGGTGTTTGAGTATTGTCTCGACGGTCTTACAAAGCCCACAGATCTGCATGGTCTTCCACTTAAACTTGCCAATGATGAGACTCTTGGTCAGTTTACTGAAGAAGATGGGTTGTATATGACATTGCATTGGAGGGTACTGCCATCCTTAGGTGATCTGTTTTTGCACAAGGATCTTGTGAAATTGTGCACTGCTTGGTTTGACGATAATGAACTTTCAGAAGATGCCTTCACCAGTAGCGTATTTAAGAAGTTTACCATCGCTGAGCTTGGCAGGTACTTGGGAGAGCAGCTTCCAGAGGATTGGCGAGGATGTGATCAGCACGTAGAGTGGCAGCCCAAAAAGGAGGGTCAGCCATTAGAGTCATGGCTGAGAGACTTGTGGAAATTCATCTGCAGTGAAACTTCTGAAGAAAACTCACAATTTTCCTTGCAAGCTATCGAGAACTGGCCGATTTTTCCGACAACGGCTGGGAATTTGGTGCCGCCCACTAAATCCAAAACGGTCTTGGCCCTACACTCCTTAGGTGGCATTGGATTCGGGCTAAAGGTGGCTGAAGTACTCCGTAAACTAGGGCTACCGGAAATTGCATGGAAGAAAATGTGCGTATCTACATGTAACACAGCAGATCCACCAACTGATCTAACACCGATACTGCATGCATACTTAGCCTTACCAAAGTCATATGGAGACGTTATCGGCGTAATCCAATATATGACAGCCACCTCTGCCCCGTTTGGTAAGCTTGAACCAAAAGAGTGTGGCACCTTGCTACATTACTTTCAAGAAGGATGTGACGATGAGACGCTGACACTGCAGAACATCCAGGTAATCAAAAGCCTTCCCATTTTCATGCTTCTTGGAGAGACCAAGACCACAGATGTCCAACGCCCTCTCAATTATCACACTGTAGAGGGATACGACGTGCTTAGAGAGGAAGCAAACATCTGGATGGATAACATGAAGTGTGTTTTCCTTGAAGCAAACCCTACCTTGTCTTTAATCCACAAGGAACTCGGGATATCACCTATCACACATGCTGAGGTCTACTTGAAGTACATTCTGCCAAGTTTCCATCTACTTACACAAAAGGCTAGAATCAAGCACATTGAAAACATCCGAGATGAAGTTGTTCTTAAGGCCACAAGGGAAGACGGAGAAGTCCTACTTAATCGTCTTACCAATGTCGAATTCATTTATGACCAGTTGAACACCCTGCGACCTGCCTCTTATTTCTATGACCCAAGAAATCCGGTTTTTAAGGCAATGGTTGACCAAGGAATGTTGCTGCCTGAACAGCCAGAACTTATGAGACCTCCAATGAGAGAGTTTCTCGCAAGGATAGGTCTACACACAGATGTAACCCCAGAAAACTTCATCAAGTTCGCGCGAAAAATAGAAGACAGAGGCAATCTCCCTACAGATAAAAATCAGCTGAAAGTTCTTTGTGACAACTCAAAACTACTGAAGAATGAACTTGACTATAATGATAGCCTACATGATCAGAGAACCCTGTTGATTGTTGCCACAATCAAGTTCATTCCGTCCACTCCTATTAAACCGGAACTTTTGGAAATCTGTCCTGCATACCCTTCATCTGACATTCAGACCCCGGCCAGGGTACCATTCATTGCGTACTGTGGATCAGTCCCATCAAGGTATACGGAATTGGTCTGGTCAGCTTCAAGTGTGTTGCCATATTGGGCTCTACAAGTTGCTGCGAACAAGAACATTGGGAAAAAGAAAAAGAGGTTGACAGTTCACGAATGCCTTGGAATTGTAACAGATGAAAGTGCAGTCATGGAAAAGGTATTGGCACACACTAAACTGGTCTGCGGAAGCATGGAGAAAAAGAACGTGATACACAAGGAAGACAAACTTCCTAAGAAAGTGAGGGAGGAGGTGAAAGGTGTAATGAATAAGATCCTTCAGTACCTGAAAGACAGTGTTACCAAACACAGGGAAAACATTAAGCGCTGTTTGCTAAACACTCCCATATGCCCTGTAGAGAACAGTACTGTTTTTGTGAAGGCAGATCAGCTGGTATTCAACTTTGGTGACATGAAGGAGGGTGTTCTGAAACCCTATTTGTACACGATACCACGGGAATTGATGTGTTTTGAAAGCATCTTCAAACTGCTTGGAGCCCAAGAGAAGTGTTCCTTTGATCAACTTGCTGGAGTTTTGGCGGCCCTAGAGAACGATTGTGAGAATGAGCAAATGAAGTTGAATCCGAATCAGCAAAAGTCTGCCAAATGTGCTGTCGGGGGTATTTTCAAATTATTACACGACCAGAAAGAGAAATGTCAAATTTCAGCCTCCAAGCTCTATCTACCTACCGTAGAATATAGCCTAATGGAGGCACCTCAACTGTATTATGCAGATCCGGACCAAATGCAGCAATTAGACACAGTTTCCTCTGGCGGTAGGGCGTTTATCCTTCCTCTACGAGAGTGCGGATTCAGATGCAAAAATGAAATAGCTCTCTTCAGCTACCTCCCAAGCAGACTCCGTCCTAAATTCCTAAAGGATGAATTGCAGGAGAAGCCGTGTGACACCAACGAAGACTGCAGGGAGGGACACGATTGTCAATACTTGGCACACATCAAGCATATGGTGACCTCCGATGAGATGACAGAAGTATTGCTGAGACTTTGTCAACACCAACTGAACGAATTGGAAGTACGCGTGGAGGATGTTAAACGCATTGAGGTGTTGCAAGATTTCAACCAACTTTCCTGCAAGGTAAACTTAGAGCTCGGGTTCTACGACAACGACGGCAGAAAAGTAGCTAACCAGCAGTTTTCACGAAAGGCTTTCTTGGACAAAAACACCAGTACATTGTTTCTGGAACACGTGTGGCCTTTGGACAAGCACATGAGTCAAACATTTCGGGAAGTCGCAGAATGTTGTAATGACCTGCTTGGTGGTTTGTTGAACGAAAGACACGTATCTATCCTGCAGAGTGCATTAGACAGCCCAAGTCCCTTTGAGATGAGCGACGTTTTGTCGTCAAATAAGATTCCATACTATTATGGAGACTCATGGAGACACAGACCAGGAACAATCATACCTCGTGATGTACGAACTCTCCTTAACGATGACCCATTCAACCGTTTCGAAGCAGGTGAGATCGTTGGTTACAGAAGAACCATAGGTGAGTTGCCTCCAGAAGATGCAGTTGCTACGCGGAGTAGAGAAAGGCGGGCGATATCACATGCTTTATCAACAGACGAAGCAACTGAGATTATATATGCCGTAATTGTTGGTCAAGTCGGCACGGATGAAGAGAATAGTATCTTGTCGAGGCAGTATGAAATCGATGTTGGTCTGGAAGAGCATCTTATCGTTAGTGTGACAACGCTCTTTAAGTTTCTGAGTCTTAAGGACGAGGATGACAGAGGGTTGCCAAGTAGGCCTAATACCCTTCCGGCAGACCCTCAAAATGACATAGAACAGATTCAGAGGGAGGTAAGAGAAGCCATGGCGTTACCAAAAGAAGAACAGAAGAGGGTTATCAACCGTCTATATCGGAAGTGGCATCCTGATAAGAACCCAGGCCAGGAGGAGCGTACCAATAAGGCTTTTCAGTTCCTAATACAGGAGATAAACCGCTGTGATGTGACAGACCAGTACGAACAGCACTACTCTTGTTGGGAGTCAGAGGTTAGGAGAGACAGGGAAGAAGCCAGGAGATATCAACAGATGCATAACCGAAGTCGAAGAAGGAGACGGAACAATGCAAGGTGCAGCAATGTCCCACCCTCCTTTTCGAGAGAGTCTCCAGACCCACGCAGTGCACGACTGTGGTTCCGGCAGGCCAGGGAACACTTAAGTGCTGCTGAGAAGACGAGTCAACTCGGACCATCCCAAGTACAGTGGATTGCTTTCCAGGTCCACCAAGCAGCCGAAGTGGCTCTCAAGGCAGCCCAGTACAGCCTAACCGGACGCCCTGACACTCACAGTAACAGTGTGACCGGTTTGGCAAGCATAGTCTGCAACCACCGCTATGTAACCTCAAATGAGTTGAAAAACATCGCGAGTGATTTAGAACGTCATGAGTGTCTTTACGACAAGCCTCGCTACCCTGTGAGTCGGATTTCACAGACTAGTGGACAGGCATATCAAGGCTTCAGTGTAGAGGATGCCATGAGACTCAGCAAAGCCCTACTCAGTCTCGTCCAGGACATAATCGGAATCAATGAGTTTTAAGTATGGACTATAGCACATTAAACCAGCAGATGAACGAGGTTGAAGATGTTAAGTAGTTAGTTATATGCATGGGTTATTCTGTAATTTAGGGGTCCAAAGTAGGACATTGCATAAAAAGGGCGCGAAAACTAAGTTATCGGTTAAGCTCGCTTTTCTTAATATGAGATGTTGTACTTACATTAGGATGGCCTTGGTCAATGCGTTCGTCATTATTCGTTCGTACGCGGTAAACGATCGGCGGCATATCCTCGCTATGCAGTGCATTAAAAATACAGCGCGAACAGCGACCTCATGTGGCCACAATTTTATGCAAATCATTTGGATTCGATCGAATGCCTTGGTCCAATCGTCAGCAAAAGCTTATGTTTTTCTTTAATTTGCGCTAGATTTCCAGCGCACGACCTCATGCGAATACAGATACTGTATGCGGGGCTAATATGTGGAATGTCGAATCACACTTTGGTAAATCTCGACGTCATCAAATCATTCGCAGCTATTTGCCCATTGCGGACGGGTCAGAAACCATATTTTTTGTGTGCATTGGTGCTGTGTGAAATGTGAGACATCGACGTACACACAACGTGTGTGTAATACAGTACTTGTTTCGCCATCAGTACCGCTCAGTTACTATAATATGCAAGTTTCCACGCAACGATGGACCAATAAGAAAACGACTTTTAAGGTCAGCTTAGGTTATTAGCATAATGAGCACCACCACCAAAACGTCAAATGGATGATTGAACCAAGGCGTTTGTCTGGATCCAGATGATTTGCATACAATAGTGGCCGCATGAGGTCGCTGTTCGCGCCGTATTTTAATACACTGCGTATAGCTAGCGAGGCCGAGGATATGCCGCCGATCACTAAGCTTACCGCGTACGGACGAATAATGATGAACGCCTTGACCAAGGCTTACATCCGGATGGTAAAGTGCAAGCCTTTTCAACAGACAGGAGATCTTTACAAATTTCATGTCATCTGGAACATGAAAAACACTAGGTTTACACGTAACTGGGACACCACAAATGGTCATTGGTAATTTTTTTTTGTTTCTTAGCATTGCCGTCTTGTTATTTTCTTATCCTTTTATTTAATGGGCAGGATGTGTAAAATACCAAGGAAAAGTGAACAATTTTTACCATGAAAGACACTTTACACACAACTCAATTGGGTCACACGTAACGGGGACACGGGACACCAAAATGTTACGCGTGAACCCATAATATTGGAGAGCACCATCTTTACACCATTATTTCTTTTAAAATGGAGTTTGTACATCAATGATTTTGCCCTAAATATGGCATAGTTTCCCTTTTAAGGAGGCTAAAAATGAATGTGACTATTTTGAGACTGTTATTTTTGTCCCACTTTCTAGCCAAAAATATGAGAATTTGCGATTATTTTTTTTATACAAAACAGGCACTAAATAGGATCAAGATAACACATTTGTAGGTTTTGTCAATGCAAGTTATTGGAGTTTGTTACACATAAAGTATCATTAACTTTAATACAATCCTATTTAGTAGAATTAAACAAAAAAGACAATTTCTATTGGACCCCTAATTTATAAAATGACCCACTAACAAATGCGTTGAAACGAATTGTTGACAGCCACTGCATTCGGTGCAAACTAACAGTTCAAATTTCTAAATGATCAATGTAGCAAATAGTTTAAAGTTAATAATGATCGATGAAACAAAAAGTTTAAAGTTAAGTTTGATCAATGTAACAAATAGTTTAAAGTTCAAAATGATCAATGTATTGACAAAAAGTATAAAGTTTAAAATGATCAACATACATGTACCTTATAGTGAAAAATTGCTCTTGCTTTATCTGTAATCTGGCGTGCAAGCCACATTTTGTTTGTTGCTCGCTGTAGACCCTTCACGTAAACAAACAATGCCGAACACTTTTCTCGTATTGATTATTACCAGAGTTTGGAGCATATCGTTGCCTTCTTAATAGTTTTGAAACTTGACAGTTACACTTATGTTTAAAGGATAATTTTCAGGCATAACATTCGCGCGTTTGTTTTTTATTGAATTGCTACTTTATCTTTCAAATTTCTACCGATTTACGTGTGATATATGTAAAGCATACATCTCTGCATGTAATTTATATGCTGAACTTTTACTGAAAGGACTACTAGTGTAAATTTGCCGAGATGACTTCTGGTAAACTCGGTGTGTATTTTGCGTGTTTCAACGTTAGCGTGCTTCGTGTTGACCATTTTGATTGTAATGAATTTCTTGACTTGTTATTGATAGGCCTAGGCCTAGCTGTTGTGCCGTGGTAGTAGAGTAGTCAAAGATACTTATTTCTGTAATTTGCCAAAATATCTAGACATTGTGTTTCTTCTCGGTTTGCCTCTTCAAGCAGTGGAGTTGGTACAAAAACGAAAACACTGCTTTACGAAAACACTGCTTTATGTCATTTTGTTTTTTGGACACTTCCACAGTATACTGCAGTTGCACAAAAGTGATAATCACTTTGAGTTGGAGCCTGTGTCATAGGTCTTGCTCTTTTATATTTAAAAGTGGAGACTGTCACTAAACATCAATTGTCAACATTCTCGCTGCAAAAAAGTAACAATAAAATATGTTTTTATTGGTGGAAAAGGACTATACTGAACAATAAAAGAGAAGCTGCTAACTACAACTATCATAATAATGAAGAGAAACCTGTAGTGACATAATTCCTCATCCGTCGTACACGGTTATAAATTGCATTACTTTCATTATATTATCATGGTTTAAAGGAAAACTCATAATTCATGTTTAATTTACTGTGATTATTGACACAGTCCTTAAGGATCGACATTTCATTCAAGTTTGTAGTAAAGAAAATATGTCGATACAGCTGTTAATCATCGACATATTTTTTCCTTCCTTGGTTTGTTATACTTGCTTAGTATTATTGGGGTTTTTTCTATTTTTCTAATATTGACAACAACAATTATGAATGTAATCATCAACAAAAGATGCAAAACGTAAAACGTCGAAGTAGATTGCATGATTGAAATTTGAGGTGTTCTATGCGTCGAGGATGATTGTAATGGGCTAGATTATGGACACCTGGTTCACCTCCAATTTCTGCGATTGGTTTCTTTTTTAAACTTGTATGTTATAATTATGATAGAAAATAGTTTTCTTTAAGACGACTTTTCAATTAATTAAATGCATGTCTGGCTGCTGCATACCATCGGTGACACCACGAAGGAACACCCAAGTGGACTTGAGTGCTCGCTCCGCGCGCGTATTTTACAGAACCGAGCGATTTTCGTTTTCACGAAGTAACTCTCATGTACACCGTGCGCTGAATCGGTGATTATTGTCTTTATTTCACCAGTTTGAAGGCTTTTTATTACAATTTTCTATATTCCTACTAGAGTAGGTATTAATTACATTCCTGTCAAACGTTTTAAACGCTTTAATCCAAATAGTATTTCCGTAACAGGGTGAAAACAAAAATCGTTCCCGCCAGTGTCCGATGTGCGCGCACATGCACTTGAGTGTTACTTCGTGAAACCAACATTTGTTATTTTGCTGTTTTCACGAAGTAACACTGAAGTGGACTTGGGTGTTACTTCGTGGTGTGATATGAAGTCAAAAAGAACTGCACTACATTTTGTCACCATACAGTGGGCGTGCATCATCGAGACGATTTTTGTGTGAAGTGTGTAACAATTACAATGTGTGTCATGCCAGATTTTCTGGTTTAATCTAAAAAGTTTGGTTTGTTATACGTGAACTAAGTGCCTTATGTGGCGCACCCAGGGGGTAATCGTTTTGGTAATTTTGTTTTTTTTAGTCCCACGATTTTACCTTGGTGACATGTATTCGGCCTATTTTTGAGTAGTATAATAGAGGTGGCGCCACCAACGTCAAAATAGTCCGCCCCCTGAAAAAACTCCAATTTTTTTCTGCGGCCAAAAATTTTGGGCAAATTTTGTGCGGAAAAAAACCAAAAAAGAACCTAAAATCCTGGGTGCGTCACTGCTTTATTTGACAGCCAGAATGTGTATTTATTTTGTCGTCATTCAATTTGTTAAATAAGTTTGATGACGCTGGTTATGGTTTCTTCTCATAATGATATATATCATTGTTTTGGAAAAATATGAAAACATAACACATGGTTTCGATATAATTTTTAATAGACAATTGTGAAGGATGATTAACACATGTGGAAAATTAGTATTTTTAAGTACATTGAGATTCCTTGCAAAATCCTGATGCATATTCTATGTGATCAATAAACAATATTACATGTATGGCGATATTTTTATTAATTCATGTCTTTTATTCATTAATCATAAATCAACAACAACAACCAAAAGACATGGAGGAAACCTAGAACATCATGAACATGAAAGACGAATCAAAAGAAACAGTCTAAATGTCAATGAAGCAAGGAACTAGAAATTAATGTAGAAGTAAGAGACAAATTGACAAATTAAATAATTAACAATTTAGCATAACAAGAAAAGCATAACAAGAAAAGCATAAACCTAACAAGAAAAGCATAAACTGTTAACGTTAAGAAGTCCTTATTCCCTATCAGCACTGCAGTTCCATCGTCATGACAATAATTACATGTCTTCACAGCCATGTTGTTGCGAAAGCCGATTTCTAAAGGTTCCGTAAAACTTTAATTTGAACGAAACAACATGTACTGGCATTACATTCACTGTCCGAACAATAGATGTCCACATAAACCAGGTAACAGCGACGTTGTGTGGACTTGTCCACGTACGTGCACACAGTGTTTCCCCCTCTCTGGAAAACAGGTTTAGAGGAATTTTTGGATTGGTTTTATCAGTGGCAAAATGAAGAGAAACACTATAAAGGGAATCATTTTTTTCACAGGCTTATCTTAACTACACGAAAACAAAGGAATTTCCACACTATATAACGTAAATGTGTGCCCATAATCGCCGGCGAAACCTTTGAAAATCAATTTCTCCCGTTTGGAAGACCGGATCTTCATGCAACTTCCAGGGTTTGTGCTAAAACTGTGCTAAAAGGGTTTGTGATCCAACTATGTGCTAAAAAAGTTTCGTCAACAAAAAATCCTCGTGGAAATTTTCGTTGGAGATAGTTCAAGATGTAAAACAAGCGTTCGCAACAACAGATTAAATTCAAAATGTTTTTAGATGATATTGGTGTTCAACTTCTCGTAAAAAAACAGCTTGTGGGGATTCCTAGAAAGTGAGAAAAATAAATAGATTTTGGAACCATTTCGATCGATTTCCACGACTTTTAGCTCAGCTTTACCATGAGGTTTCGGCATGAATAACGTCGATTTTTTTTCACTGACATAAAATTTAGAATTTCTTCTTCTTTTACAATTTAACATATTGTCTGAAAAACAACATTCAAAAAGCCATGTTTTTTTGGCTGCATGAATTTCACTGCTCTGATTGTAGCGTCCATGTACGTACGTAATCGGATTAATTTGTTAACAACGGCGACGCTTAGGCCTTTGCAACCACAGGGCTGTTTGAGCACTTGTTCGTGTTAAAGAGGTTGTGGAATGCTCGAAGACATTTCCGTCATTTTCGGGTATATGTAGCCTAAGGTGTGATGAAAAACGACTATTGTTTCTGTCATAAAATGAGTACAAAAGGTACTTTTGAGAGCTGTTTTTCAAGTCCTGTCATGCCTGTTTCGACCCGAACGTGCAATTTGTGTAAAAGTCGTCGTTGCCGGCAGCAAACAAAACACAGTAAATCGTGACGTAATAAACAGGACTCCCGATGCAGAGTAGCATAAACGAGTCCTGTTTATTACGTCACGATTTACTGTGTTTTGTTTGCTACCCGCAACGACGACTTTAACACAAATTGCACGTTCGGGTCGAAACAGGACCTGAAAAATAGCTCTCAAAAGTAACCTTTGTACTCATATCATGACAGAAACAAAGTCGTTTTTATTTCATCGCACCTTAGGCTACATATACCCAAAAAATGACGGAAATGTCTTCGAGCATTCCACAACCTCTTTAAGTAATTGGTGTTTGAATGACGGTTTCACTGCCAATGACTTTTGTAGGAACCAACAATTATGAATGAGCTATTTTACTAAAATCTACTCGTTTTCATAGAAGACCAACTATGAAGTATTCACCATTAACCGTTACTAGCTCCGCAAGTTCTAAGCCAAGGCATTAGCCTAATGTACAGTGCTTGGCTAGAACTCGCCGAATGTAGTCGCAAGTTTACGCAGGTTATACTAATAATCATGGGCGTTGCCAGGATTTTTTCTAGAGGGGGGGCAAAACATATTTTTCCCAAGAAATTCTTGTATTTCTCTCGATTTATCAGTTTTAGAGGGGGGCAGGGACATTTTGCCCTCCCCCCCCCCCCCCCCCCAATTCATTAAATTTACACCACTATGACTTCGCACCTCTTTTTCTTTTCTTTTTTTCTCTTTTCTTTTTCTTCCTTTTTTTTTTTTTTTGCTTTTCCGGGGGGGGGGGGCAAGCGCCCCTCTTGCCCCCCCCCCTCGCGACGCCCATGCTAATAATAGCTGGTACTTTCTGAAAGAGTAGATCAAGGCATCTTACCTATGAAGGTTGCAAGCAATGAATTCATTTGACCCGAATTTAAACCAAAATGTAAACCTTAACAATAATATGTAAGTAAATTGAGTCAAAACTTCACCTTTCAAGACATCAAAGAACCACCTTTTATGCAACATATAAACACGATTTAATACTCCATAGGTCGATTATGATTTTAACATTTTTTTGCTGGTTTTTGCTTTTGGTTGTTTTTGTTTGATTGGTTTTGGGAATTTTTGGGGGGTGAAATGTTTTTTTACCAATGTTTATTTCACACCTTAATTTCTTAATAAGAAAAGACTTGGTAGAACAGTCTGGGGGGCCTTGGAGCGTTTTCCAAGAAATTACTACTGTCAACATTGTTCAACCGAAATCAAAAATAAGAATGGTAAGTGCTCAAGAAATCAGCCCAAAATTGTATACATGATGACGTCATTGCATTTGTATTTATCTTCAGTTGGTTGTGCATACATGCAAATTGAAGTTGATATCAGTTTTCATGCTGATAAACAGCTCTTGAAACGAATTTGCAGAGAAAAATGATATAGTAAATTCGTAGAATAACAAAAGGTGTTTGGCTCATAGCCCAACGCCTAACAAAATTATTAATCGATATTGTAAGCAGTAAAATTATTATGCAAAGCCAAGTTCATTTTAACAGTCCAAATTATTGAATACATAATTCGCAGGAGGAATAAAAAGAACATCAAACCACTTTTTTATCTCTGTGTACCATGTAACGAAAGATACATCCAAATATGTACAAATTGTGTTCGGGATACCTTAATTAATCTTAACCGGCAATTATAGCTTCAGATATCAATAACAAATACTTTAAAAGGGCAGGAGATTCTGCTTATTGGACTACACAATTGTCAAGTTTTTCCTTTGCCGAATCCAGCATATCGTCAATAAAGTCCTTATCCTTCTTTTCTGCAACTTCGTGCTTATCGCCGTCACGATCATCCCCTGCTTGTTCCCCGTGCGCAGCTCCTGCGCCTCCAGCAACGTCCGTACCCAACGAGTTGCTCTCGGGATCCGACGGGTACATTCCGGAGTCGTTAGTGCCGCTCGGCTGCACGGACCCGCTGTGTAGGGACTCCGCATATGCATTGCCCAGATACCGATAATTCGACTCCGATCCCAGCGAAACGTCTTGCAGGTCGGACTCGTTGGATGCAACACCAGTATCGCCTTCCTCATCTTGGCTCATCGCGTAGTTGTCATGAACGAGATGATGTGGATCGCTAATCGCGATCCCGTGCAGTGGTACGCCTTGAGTACCTCGGCTGGGCAAACCGTTGTCCGAATTCTCTTTTTTGTACTTCTTGTACGATCTTGTGTGCCTGGAGTGTAGCATTAATGAAAATGAGATAGAAGTAGACTCATTCAGCGTTTTCGTAGATTAAACTGTTTTCATCGTGTCATGAATTGTCATGATCATGACCTGCAGCCGATTTCACGAAACAGTGCGTAGCTTACGCCATGCATACAGGATCTGAGCAGAACATTAATTTTGTTGCGCCCCTGAGCAATAAACTTACAATCGATTTCACGAAACTTGGTGTAGCTGTGCAACGTTTTAAATAATTTAATAAGCGTATTTACGCGTATTTACGACCGCACGGCTGTTTGTGTATAAATTCTCTTATATAGGTCACAGTTAACGAAGAAACACCACCGCCCGCTATTTTGTCGGAGTTTTTTCGAAATCGTGCAACAACTCTATTATGTCACCGGTATAAGAGGAATGTATATACTTCAAATACAGCTGTGAGTGTCTTGCATTGAACCTTTAAGTTGAGCATCGGACGATCACGATTTGCCACTTTCAGTTTGCCATTTCACGATTTGCCATTTTCAGTGGCTACGCAATAACTTACGCAAGGACTTACGCATTGTGAAACATTCGTGAAGTAAGTCATAACGGAAATATTGCGTAGCGTAAAATGTTGTGCAACGTACACAATGAATTATGGTCTAGATTTATAAGCACACCATTGCATAAAGTTTCGTAAAAACGGTTGCAGAAGCGAAAAACTGTTTAGCGCCTTGCACGCGATGAACCCAAGATAGCAGTCCAGCATTGGTTTGAAAAGTAGGCTATTAAATTTGGGTTTCACTATAAAGTAGGTTTAAAAGGCTATTTAAAAAAATTAATTGAAATTCACTAACTCTAACATTCGGGGGAAAAAAACCACGCTTTTACCAAACCAATGCCTACAGTGTAAACATGTTGACATTTCAGCATTGATTTGCTGATGAAACCCCCCCCCCCGGCAAATATTCCTGGATCCGCCCATGTCCGGATGAAATCAAATACTCTGTGTGCTCATTTGTCTGGACTAAATTTGAAATTGTCAGACAAATGACGAAATTATACGTTGGAAGTGCACTAAGTTGATGTTGCTGGACAAATTTGAATACATGTATGTTTTTAAAAATAGCCGGGAAAACCTATTTTAAAAGCTTATCTGCACTACGATCAGGATAAAGCACAAAATGCTTATGGCTTCATGCTTTCCATCATCATAGTGGTACAGTCTTCATTTTATAGTCGTGGTGGTGTGTTGGAGGTGCACTATGGATTGAACAGATGGGGTCCGCTCCTAAGTCCGACGCCTCACATTCGACGCCTCATGGGTCCGACGCCTTATAAGTCCGACAAAATCGCATCCCCCAACCAAAAAAGGCCCATAAGTCCGACGCCTCATAAGTCCAACAGTCATTATTTATTAATACAAACATTGCGTAAAATGTCAGAATGTTAGCGCCTCTTTTTGTTAAAGTTGGCGATAATTGTCATTAAGGGATGCACCAAATGTCCCCCCCCCGGAATTTACCGCCAAAACCTCCGCGCTGGCGGACTGATCTGCGGCCAGTTAGTTCCTGCTTTGCACAGTGCGCTGTTCGTAAGTAGACAACCTCCCGGACTAAAAATGTCGTATTATTTTTTTATAATCTCGTTCTTGCCTTGTCGGACAATTGAACCTTTTCCCGTAACTTATGAGGCGTCGGACCTATATGAGGCGGAATAAAATAAATGTTATGCCTCATAATAGTCCGACGCCTCAGAAGTCCGAAATTTCGGACTTATGAGGCGTAGGACCTATAGGGCGTCGGACTTATAATACGGCCCCGAACAGATGACGAGAAAGGGACTACGAGTTTCAAACGACCATTCAAAATTTCAGTGATCCTCGATATATATGGGCCTTACATCTCAGTTATGACTGTTAAAAGTACCTCTGAATCACTATCATAATACTACTCAAGGAAGCTGAATGAACTCTCCAAACTTACACTCTGTAGACGATGTATGAAGCTATGAGAAGAATCAAACAAACGACGAGAAGAAGTAGAACTATCCAGATGAAAAATGGAATAGTTGTGCCGGGATCTGGAAGAAACGGAGAGATAAGTGACAACAATTGTGACAACACATTGATTTAACTGACACGACACAGAGTTCCTGGGCTGTGGATTCGTTTGCATGGTAGAGACTTTTATAGACAGGGATACGATTTATATAGAATTTACAAAACGTTTATACCAAAACGAAATGAACACTCTTCCATCGTAAAAACTGGGGCTTAGATTTCAGCACAAACTAATGCTAACTACCCGTTGATCTTTTTTCGAAATGATTGCAAAATCGCGCCTTCATGCTTGTAAACATAACATTGCATAGGTGTACAGGGCAAGTAAAAAAAATGGAAACCTACATGTCGGGACCACTGTTTTTTAAAGTCCTGCCATTTGGGTTTACTTTTTTCGACTCGCCCTGTATGTCTACTACCTTAACCTTATGATAGTACCCATGGTAATTGGATATGGATTTAATTTGAAAATTTGGGAAATTATGAAACTTACTGCTTTCTGCACCCTTTGAAACGCCTGTATAAAGAACAGTACATGGATTTAATTAAAATACAAGACATTTCAATAAGTAAAACTCATTATTGATTGAACACTGCTGTTTTTTATGTCCATAACTAAAGGAAAAGAAACAAACTAGACCCATGCATGGACCAATTATACATCAACCAATCAATTAATCTAATAAAACCAACATATTAAACTCGAACCAAAGTGCAATCCCTTTCATGCACATGCTCTATGTTACTTTTATGGTGTGTTATAGTCTATGGTTACTTACCAGCCGTTGTAAAAATGGTTCCATTTGCTGTGAGATAAAAAACAAATCAAAGAAAAATCTTCATGAAATGTTTATTTTATATCTCATCAAAAAAAGGCAATCAGTGTTGCAACCCCCCCCCCCCGGCCGCGCCTTTGTTGAAAATAATATTAATGAAGTTCTTAACAGATCCGTGTTGACAATAAGCGAACTTTAGACTCGTTCTAAATTGATATTTAGTGGAAGGAATTTTTCGAAGCTCCCTTATATTTGTCTTGTTGTCAGGAATGTGGCTAGTGCCTGATCATGTGACTACATCAGGTGATTATTTACACACTCACCACAAGTTGGCAAGTCAGACGACCAATTCCCGTTGCTAAGGCAATAAAGTGTGGCGTTCCCCAGGATAATTTGGTCCGAGTTGTTACACGAGTACGTCACAGCACTGTTAAATGTGTAATCCGTTGCGTTGACGACGACACCAGGCGGCGCTTCATCTAGCGGCCCACAGTTTACCACTGAATTTAACATTAATGTATTCGTTATAATAATCAGCAAATTATAAGCATGAGATTTTGTCATGCTTACCTGCGACTCTGCAGCCAATATGTAAATGACATTATGACAATCAAAATAACATGTAAATTCTGAATTATTAATATTCAGAAATAAATTAGCCCCAAAAATTCCAAGTGACAGACTATGCAAATGAACTGTGTCAAAGGTCATTGGTCATTCTCGGTCACCCACGACTTGAGACCTTGACTAGTGACTGCTGATGACTTCATTTGAGACTGACTTGCAATTTTACACGCGCCTCGTGAATTCTTAAATTACAAATCCCTCGTGTATTCTTCGTAACCTACAAATGAGACGAAATTACACAGCACGTTTGCTGTCTTTGAGCAATAGCTGCTGAGACAAATTCAATCTGTGTTGGCAAATATTATTGAACAAGTACTTAAAGGTATACATGTATATCATTTGTCATTTGTGAATTTTTTTAGTTTGAAGCAACAAAAGTGCTCAAAATCTATTTTAAAAAAAATAAAAAAATAAAAAGGTGCTAAACAACTAACCTGATGAAGTTTTAGCTCAGTGAATGCTGTATATGCCAAGAAAATAATATTCTAGGATCTTGATTTCAAATCAAAAGTTGCAGAATCATGTTTTGAATTGGGCCCGAATTCTAGTCAGGTGGCATATGGTTGGAATCGTGAACGACTGGTCCAAAGTACCAAACTTGGCAGATAGATTCTTATAGCCCTAAAGAAGATATTTAAAAGGGGTAACAAGTAAAATTATTTTGGAAAGGGTGCCTAATTTGCATAAATCCTTAATACCTGCCGTGTAATATATTTATTACCTTATTTGGGTATTTTCTTCTTATTTTTATTTTTTGAAAAGTATATTTTGGAGATTCTACCTACATATCCTTACTTAAATAACGTTTTCTAAAGCATATAAGTAACCGAATAATTATGAGGACACAGTGACGATCCGAAATGGCTACAATTATACCCTAAAGTTGAGCGCATTTCCCTTGTTTGTGACTGCAAGCAAGTCGCGAAATGTTTGACGCGAATATGGAGATCAATATAGAGCCTAAAAGTTGACCCCTCGTGGCGCGCATCTGGACCCTTATATAGAAAAGTTAGCGTGTAAAAGTCAGAGTTTTCCAATTATTTTTGGTACATTGACTTGTTAAGAAAATCACCCTCGTTTTGCCTTTGTTAAATAGTTACTAGCTTCTCAATTTATGGAAACTGAAAAATCGCATGACGTGAATGAGAAATATCGTGCTAGAAATGATCTCTTACTTCCGAGAATCTAAGATTCACGTTGATATGGAACTCGGTGCACTCGTACAAAGACGAAAATTTATAAATCCCATTTTGTGGCGGTCACTGGGCAAAGTTTATCCCCGGAGATTGGGATAACGAAATACTAATCATAACCAGTTAAAGACCTGATCCGGACCTTCTCATACTCCTTCGCTGGTGGACGTTTTAGTGGGAATTACGTCCGAGTCCTGCAGTTCGTTTCCAGTTTCGCAGGTAAACGTCACCACGGTATAAACCGTTACATCGGTGCTTTGAAAAGCTTTCGTTAACAAAGTTCACTTCATATAGGAGATTGGGATAACGAAGTACTAATCATCAGTTCCTAACCAGTTAAAAACCCTGATACCTACGTCGACAGACTGGATCCGGACCTTCCCACACTCCTTCGCTGGTGCACGTTTTAGTGGGAATAGGCTCTGAGTCCTGCAGTTCGTTTCCAGTTTCGCAGGTAAACGTCACCACGGTATTAACAACCGTTACATCGGTGCTCTGAATAGCTTTGGAATATTTTGCCAGGGGCGGGCACGTAGATACTGAAAAAAAATAAACGTAATCATTGAAAGCATGTGACATGTTAAGAATGATTATGCATAAAGTTGTCAATTTTATTTTCGAATAACCACAATAGAGACATATAGAAGACATCCAGTAAAATGTCAGCGCAATATCGGGGTTCAGAACTCACATTCACAAACGGGATCGGTGCCTACCCACTGGCCGTCTGCGTCACACGTCTTGAATGGCGTTGCACCGTTCGCGAACTGGTAGTTGTCGTCACATTGGAAGGTCACCGAGGTTTCAAATACCGTTTGTGTAGTAACGGGCGTTACGAACGGGTACACGGGGAGGGGACCGCAGTCTATCACTGGAAATGACACAAGTAAATGAACAGTAAAACTAGGAAGTAAAGAAAAAAAAGGTAAAGGGGACGAACCTGTGTTCACAGGAACGGAGTGCCCATCTCTCTTTCAAAGCGATTGGGCCAGACTCGAGTCCATGAAATGTTGCTGTGGGGGGATTGCCACACCTCCTCCACAGCGAGTCTGTTACCTTCCCAACATTGAATAATGCCGGTACCCATTTAACACCTGGGTTGAGAGGAGTAGTTGAGGTAAAGCGCCTTACTCAAGGGCACAACACGCATGGCCACGGCAGCTATGCTCTAACTACCACTAGACCACACGTGCCCACAAACTAGGAAGACTATAATATAATCCAATCGGGTTCGTTATGAAGGAATTTCATGGATACAAATAATAAGCCTATTTTGAGTTAGGACTCATATTTCTAAAGAGAAGAAGATGAAGGGTGGGCAGGCTGATGAGTGTCAGCAATCCCCAGTTACGAGTACGGCGCTTTCCAACAAAGCCCTTTTCTATACAAGCTTAGTTTGCTAAAACGACTTTGAAAATTGTTTTGCAACAAATTGATGTTTATAAATATTGCTTCAACTATGCATACCATAGACATAAACATGTTTTCGAATGTGACCAATTGAATCCATCAAACCTTTCCTTCGCATCTCGACTATAATTTGAATCTCTTAACATATTTCGCCTTTACAGTTCATAAATTTCCTCGTTATGACGTGTGATATAACAACATTATTTCTTAATTATTCAAAAAAAATGTAGTAGGCCTTATCCTTTGCGATCTGACGCGAATACAATGTTTAAAATCCTTAATGTTATGTGTATTTTTTAACAAATATTTTATACTTTTGTATATCAGCGCGCTTACTTTTTTTATTTGTGTGTAGGTTTGTTCTTGCATTCAATAGGGGACGTTAAACAATTGAGGACAATAGGATCCACAATTCAAGAAGTTCCACAATTGACGATCGTGTACATAACATATGGGCGGTCTTCCTAAAATGTAAATGTACAAACAAAAGAGGAACAAAATACTTGGTTGCCATGGTATTAATTTGGAGCCGTACCTGGAATTTCCCCGTGTTTTCCCGAAAAGGTTTTGTGTGGGATTTTTTCCAGTGATCAGTAATTCATGCCTTATAGTTGAATGATTAAAATTTGAACAATGTATATAGCATTTTCTTAAATATTTCTGTACTTGTATCTGTAAATATTAATGTTTGTCGTATGTTTCACTAATGTACTTTCACAATTTATGATCGTGTACAAAACATTCGAGAGGGCTTCCTAAAACGTTAACAAAGTTCACTTCATCCCGGAGATTGGGATAACGAAGTACTAATCATCAGTTCCTAACCAGTTAAAGACCCTGATACGTACTTCGACAGACTGGATCCGGACCTTCCCACACTCCTTCGCTGGTGCACGTTTTAGTGGGAATAGGCTCTGAGTCCTGCAGTTCGTTTCCAGTTTCGCAGGTAAACGTCACCACGGTATTAACAACCGTTACATCGGTGCTCTGAATAGCTTTGGAATATTTTGCCAGGGGCGGGCACGTAGTTACTGAAGAAAAAAAAACGTAATCATTGAAAGCATGTGACATGTTAAGAATGATTATGCATAAGCATGACAATAATCCTCCAAATAACCACAATTGAGACTTACAGAACACATCCAGTAAAATCTCGGCCCATTGGGGTTAGAACTCACATTCACAAACGGGATCGATGCCTACCCACTGGCCGTCTGCGTCACACGTCTTGAATGGCGTTGCACCGTTCGCGAAGTGGTAGTTGTCGTCACATCGGAAGGTCACGGAGGTTGCAAATACTGTTGCTGTGGTAACGGGTGTTACAAACTGGTACACGGGTAGGGGACCGCAGTCTATCACTGGAAATGACACAAGTAAATGAAAAGTAGCCGTAAAAGTGGGAAGATTATATTATCCAGAAGCCAGTATGATGGAATTTCATTGACACATTATAGGCCTATTCTTAGTTAGGACCTATGGTTAGGACTCATATAATAGAGGAATATGAAGGGTAGGCGGGCTGATGAGTGTTAAGAATCCCCAGCTATGAGTGCGGCGCATTCCAACAATGCCCGTTTCTATAGGCCTACAGATTTTACTGCGTTGACTGCGAAAAATTGTTTGCCACAAATTGATGTAAGCCTACCTATGCAATATTGCTTCAAGCATGCATACTATAGACATATGTTATCGAATATGCCCTTGATTCTATCAAACCTCTCCTTCGCAACTCGATATAATTGGAATCTCTTGACTTATTTTCGCCTTTACAGTTAATAAATCTCCTCGTTAGGACGTTTGATATGATAACAACGTTATTTCTTAACTATACAAGAAATAAAATAGGCCTTATCCTTTGCGATCTGATGCGAATGCAATGGTTAAAATACTTTATCTCTATGTGTATTTTCATAAATCTGACAAATGTGTATTGACAAATGAACATCAGCGCTTATTCTTTTTTCATAATCACTTTGACATGTTGGTACACTGTCGCTCCACGTGCCATCATTCCGACAAGTAGCATTAGTAGCGCCATCTACTTCAAAGCCGGCAAAGCAGGAGAACTTGACGGTTTCATCGGGCTGATACAAGGGCTTGAACGGTATGAGCAGACCGCGTGAAGGGAACGGCGGCGAACCACACGTAGATCCACCTGAGACGTAAGGACACAAACTTCAGGAAAACTCTACGAATGGTACATGTTCAAAAAGGGAGGATCAAACAATGATGATCGGAAAGCTGCATAACCGTGCTCCAAAAGAAATGTTTGAATCCCAGGCTAACTATATGCACCGTATCTAGTCAAATTAGGCCCTAAAAGGTGATATACACAATTTGCAAACATTCAAAAACATTAAGTAAGTATTATGACATAGCCTACTTACATCATTGTAAGTATTTAATAGCGTAAAATCGTAGCCACTGGTATGCTTTTGTTCTCAATAAAAAAAGAATGATATCTCAGTATTAACGACAGTGCGTACCGAACAATCGCTGTGAAAACGGCTTTTTTTTTATAGGGGCCGTATCGTAAGTCCGACGCCTCGTAAGTCCGAAATTTCAGACTTATGAGGCGTCGGACTTATGAGGCATAACATTCCGCCTCATAGGTCCGACGCCTCATAAGTCCGACGCCTCATAAGTCCGACGTCGGAAAAAAACGAGGCGTCGGACCTATGAGGCGTCGGAGCTATGGACCGGCACCAGAAAAGGTTCATTTGTCCGACAAGGCAGGAACGATATTTAAAAAAAAAAAAATTACGACTTTTAAGTCCGCTACCGGTATGTTGTCTACTTAAGAACGGCGCACTGTGCACAGCATGAACTAACTGGCCGCACATCAGTCCGCCAGCGCGCAGTTTTGGCGCAAGGGTTGATGCTACGGGCGTAAATCCGGAGGGGGAGTGGTCAGGTACATCCCATAATGTCAATTATCGCTAAATTTAACAAAAAGAGGCGCTAACATCTGACATTTTACGCAATGTTTGTATTAATTAATACTGGTTGTCGGACTTATGAGGCGTCGGACTTATGGACAGAAATAAAATTAAATTTAATTTAATCGGACATATGGGCCTTAATTTGGTTGGGGGATGCGATTTTGTCGGACTTATGAGGCGTCGCGACGCACCATAAGTACGACGCGTCGGACTTATGAGCGGACCCCTGTTTTTACACAACACTCGTTAGCGTCCGCGGAATATTGAGTTCATGCGTCCGCTCAGGTACGCTAGTTTGTGTCATTTTTCCAAGCCAGCAACAAATTGACGGTCGAAAACGACCAGCATTTTTTTTTCGTATTTTTTTCCCAGCACCAATTCACACCAACCTTATGAGTGGAAAGATTTCTGCTAAAGTAACAAACCCCCCAAAACGGTCCATTTCATGAAACTTCGACACATTCAAATGGTGGATGTTACTTTACAGCTGATGTGGGCCTTTGTTTGTCTTGTTTTATTCGACAGTGTTCTCAATTCAGGGTGATTCCTAAAAAAAGAAAGCTAACTATTGCCCGATAGTTCTCATCATCGTCCACTTTAAAGAGCGCCCCATAAGAAGAGGGTCCCCCCCCCCCACACACACACACACACACGCTTACATAGGCATAGAAGTGGGGTACTTCCTTTGTTCTCGTGCACACTTATGTCAAAATGCTCTTATTTTAACCATAGTTAATTTCCTGGGTTGAAATTCGGACTTAATATCCCTTTTCTAACACTCTTCCATTTGCGACCGATCAACCCACCTTGGAAATTCCTAGTTTTTGAGTAAAATCCATATATCTATTTCGTGAAAAACTTGTGGGGTACCAAAACGGTACCCCGCAAGTCGGTGGGCATTCCTTGTGGGGTACCTCCCATTGTTCCGGTACCCCACAAGGCAGTGTTTGTACACGCACCCACACCCACCCACACAAGCAAGGATGAGGCGAGTGCCGCTTCGTGTCTACCTCTCCCAATCAGTATGACCTTGCTACCCCACTGGTGTTTTTTTTAAGTTAAATGTCCTTTGAACCTAAGTGTCTTATGTGTGGATGCGTGTTTTCCCCAAGAAATGTCACAAGAAGGATTTTTAAAACAATAGAACTTACCAGAGGAATGACCAGAGGAATGCATTCAAGATGTCCATGGACCGCTTAGTTATGATAACAATCATCTTCATGCATGATCATTGTTTGTGGGTTACCTATATTATGAGACGCACTGTATAGAGGCAGAAAAATCCTGTTTTGTCTACTTTTGAAAGCTTCATGGAAAATACAAGACTACGGAGGAGCTGGCTTTCATGAACGGACCACCTCGTGGAGAAAGTAAGCAAAAGCATTGAAACCATGATACCTGCGCACTGCGGGTCTTCGCCGGCCCAACCACCTGAAGCGTCACACGTCTTGCCGGTGACATCACCAGACAACTGGTACCCAGCCTCGCAGGTGAACGTCACCGTGGTTTCGTATGTCGTCAATGAAGTGGAAGGGATGGCATGTTGGAACGCTGGTAAGGGACCACAGTCAACGGCTACGATAAACAAAAGGTGGTTTACTTGACAGATTTAGATTAAAATACAGGTAATACTCTTTGTCCTATTTCGTGATATTTAATTAAAGTTTTCATCGGATTGACGTAAATTATATTACAAGTTTGATTTTGAAAATTACACCACTTGTAACACGCATAACATAAAGCATTATAATATAAACCTAATTGATAGAAAATCCTTGTCTTATACAAATTCGCGTGGTGTAGTCAAACGCGCGTTAAGTTTTCCCGAGACGAATGGCAATTATAGCGAATCAACACCAATCAACAGACAAAATCTGCGGGTGAGATGTTAAGGTTGCTCACCGCATGCACAAAGTATCATGTACTGAATTCAATAATTAAACGAACATTAAAATGACCAATTTACAATTTTCCGAGTCTTTAAAACATTATTAATTTTGTAATCAAGTGTGTGTGTTCCTTTTATCGCTATACTTAAATGCCATGGGCATTATCAATTGATGCCCCGCCTGCTTAAAGATAAATATATCTTAGCCAAAGCAAAGCAGGCCTCAACCGCTGCTGAGATTCATTCAATTACCTGGGCATGCATGATTTTCAGTTGTCCAAGTCCCATCGCTTTGGCAGGTCAGTGTGGGATTACCCGCAGTTAGATAACCGCTGTTGCAGGAGAGTTGGACGGTAGAACCAGGCTGATACTCCACTTCTTCGGGTAGGTACTGACCATTTTGCGGCGTGGTCGTCGGATATGAACAAGGATCGCTAACTATTGGGGATACAAATGGAACATCGTCATCTTTGGGCAAGTTCGCACAAGAACTATTGTTGACCAACGGTTAACCATATAGGTGGACTAAAGTTGGCCGGAACTCTGTCTAGTCGACGGTGGTTGACTCCCTATAGTCGACTATTTGGAACCAGCCTACCGCGGCTGGACGCGCAACGATTTATAGCTGGTTATCAATAGCAATTTCAATAACATAGTGCAGAGGGGACCAACTATATCAACAAAAATGGCGGAAAACGAAACTGTGAGCGCTCAATTTAATTTTCATTCTGTAGTTTTTCCATGTTTATGTCACAGTGTCACCATTGTACAAAAATATTGGCGATTATGTAAGATGTCCTAAACTATACACAATCACTATTATTTGTGTAAATAAAGAGAAACAACAAGTGTTGAATAATTGTGCGACCTCCAATTTTGACGGTCGTTGACACGACAATATTTCGACGAGAGTCGTTCGCGCTTGATTTCAGTGCGCATGCGCTAGGTACGTCACAAACCAACCACTAGTTAACCACTGGTCCTTGCTCGAACTTGCCCTTTGTTTAGCTGACAAAATACAACACAGTGTTACGGTGGACTTGAAATGTATTTGATGTAATTAATGTTGTAATGAACCCACTAATGAACTGTTTTGTCTTGTCTGCGCTGCAAGGGTAGATTGCATAAAGACTTACCGGCTGGTATTTCCGTTGACGTTGTTTCTGAAGGACAAAGACAAAGAATTCATTTAATTGTATACAATCGATGTTTTTATATGAGAAAAACAATTATTTAATTTTTTCTTCCTGCTGAAGAACAATGAAAAATGCATTTGTGCAGCCCAAATTTTTACGCAAGGATTGTTTTCATTTTCACTACGCGTAAGCCTAGGATCAGGAGCTGGATGGCGTCTTAAAAAAATAGTAAAAAAAGGAGGAAAAAATCGGTTTAACCCTTTCGCGTGACCGGACACCTCCTAATTATCTTCGTTTATGCATGCGCAATACTACCAATGAGTCCGTGTTTCATACAAACCTAACTTCACGCCACACCGGCCGTCGATGAGGAAACATCGCACGTCAGAGTTTTGAGACAGTCAAGCAACGCAGGTTCAATAAAGCCTGAAAGTACGCCGCGACCCCTTCTAAGGGCATTTTACACGGGGTTGCCCTTTCTCTTGCTATAATTTTGGATAGAATGATTTTTAACCGTAATCAACCCCTGAAACATTCATGTTGGAATTTTATCTTGGCATTCCACAAGAAAAATGATGACAAATCAGTTGGAGATGGATAATAACGAATTTTACTTACGACCATTCACATCCCAATTTTCGTACCTGGATTGCCTTTTTTCGATCGCGTTTGTTTTTACATCGCGTACTTTCGTGTGAACAAAAATGATAACGACGCGGATATTTACCTACCTACATCCGAGGGATTCTAGATTTAGTCGGGCTTGCTAATACAGTTCTTATCAACGGTCATTTAAGATCTATTTGTAAATGAGAATTAGTCTCCAATTTAAGTTTAAGTTTAACCCAATGGCCGCCACAAAATTACTTCATAAAGTTTCATCCTTGTACGAGTGCTCTGAGTTCCACTTTTCCATATATAATTTAGATTTTCGAAAGTGTGAGGTCAATTTTTGGCACGATATTTCTCTTTGCACGTCAAGCGATTTTTCAGTTTCCAAAAATTGAGATCATAGTAACAATTTTACAAAGACCTTTTTAAGAAATCAAGTACCAAAAATAATTTTTTAAACTTTTATACGCTTAGCGGATAAAAGTCGGAGTTTATAAAATTAGTGGCGCGCTTCCGGACACCTCGAATAGGAAAATTAAATTTTCCTATTCGAGGGGTCCGGAAGCGCGCCACCAGGCGTCAACATTCAAGCTTTATGGAGAGGGTTACACTATTGGACCGTACAAACTCCGTCCGGGACGAGAGGTTAAGGCCTGGCTGAGCTAAAGCGGACATGTTCCATCGAAGCGGGGAAGAGCTGTGCCGGATGGTATTAGGTAATTACTGACGCAGAATTGCTGTGTTATTTTGCTATGTTGTAAAACATTTAAGTGCAGGGGATTATGTAGCGTCTGGGTTGTGTGTATCTCACGTACTTGGGTTTTGATTAGGTTGAAAGATCATTAGCTAGGCATGCGATATTGTTGCCTGTAATTGGGTAACGTTGCATGATCTATTAAATGGTCTATTACCTATGACCCGAGAGGTTTACCAAGAGCTCCCCGACTCTATCGGTGCTTAAGTTGGTTGAGGTTAGCCTAACCTGGGGTTCCACGTAGCAGATATGAGTTAAATGTCTTTACATAAAGAAGTTTGGTGTCGGAGTTTATAAAACGGAAAAATATATAAACTGATGAGATAGAACATGGTTGAATAGCCAAAATACATTTTCCCTCTTTCATAAAAGCTTTTTAGTTTGACATTACTTACTTAAGATATTTGTCACTTCGTCATTACAAAAATGCTACTTGTACATTTTAGATTGCAGATTCGGCACTTTGTCGAAACGCAAATTGTAGAGGCTACATAAATCTAAAAACAGCACACGTGTAAAATCAACGAAACTATTGACGAATAGAGAATCGTCACCTCGTCAAAACGAAAAAAGTTGTCGCACATTCGCCACTTTGTCTAATTAGCGTATTGAACGAACGCATCCATTGTTTGTCTTGATATTTGGTAATCATGACTTTGTAGAGGACACCATAATGTTAGAATATCAAAAAATTCTCAAAACGTGTATAGTGGGAGAAAACATTCGTTACGCAAACGAAAAACGAAAGTTTAATTTCTGAATTAAAATTTTGGTCATTTTGTGTGACTTTAGTAAAGAAGTCTGAGATAAAATGACAACTGACCCACACAATCAGGTACGGGGGCGCTCCATGGCCCCCCGGGTTGGCATGAGATGGTTGCATTCCCACTTAGCTGATATCCGGGCGTGCAGTAGAAGGTCAGCATTTCCCCAGTCTTGTATAGTGTGGTTTGCAACATTGTTGGGAAAGTTTTAAGGTTGGGTTTGTCCACAGTTGGGGCCTCGCAACCAGAGCCTACCAGGGTATGAAACATTGCAAGGTGAATATTTAGCAACAGTTTATTGCACAGTCCACTTTTTTAAAACTCAAACATTTAAGACTCTGATCACATGTACACTGACAAGTTAAAGCCCTCTTCTGGTATTCCCTTAGGGTGCGCACATACAGGGTGAGTAAAACAGAAACGAAACCCAAATGTCGGGACTATTGTAATAGTGAAGTTCTGCATGTTGCATTTTCCCAAAAAAATCATAAATTTTGTTTTTTACTTTTCAAGTTCTGTCCACGGATCACAAAAAAGGTGTGCGTTCTTTCAGCAAAACGAAAACAATACACACACATCCCTATGTGATTTGTTTTCGTTTTGCTGAAATAATACTTACCTTTTTGTTATCCACGGACAGAACTTTAGAGCAGTGGTTGTGTTTAAAATTCCATAACTTGAAACGGTACATGAGTGCTTTGAATGATTCTTGTACTAAAAGAAAGCTTACGAATTGGGCTTTTGTATCCTAGATTTTGGAAGTGCTACAAGTACAACTTCACTAAACACAATGGTCCCGACATTTGGGTTTCGTTTTTATTACTAACCCTGTAATACATAATGTGTGTCACCAACCACGCAGGTCGTTTATAGCTACATCTCTTTACATAGTGTGTCCTGACCATTATGCTCCGCCTGTAAGCCACAATTCACCACCGTACATGGGCGTCGCCAGGATTTTTTCTAGAGGGGGGCAAAAAAAAAATTGCCAAAAAATGCTTGTATTTCTCAACACATTCTCGATTTATCAGTTTTAGAGGGGGGCAGGGACATTTTGCCCCCCCCCCCTAACTCATCAAATTTACACCACTTTGTCTTCGCGCCTCTTTCTCTTTCTTTTCTTTCTTTTTTTTCCTCTTTTTTTTTTTTTTTTTTTTGCTTTTCCAGGGGGGGGGGCAAGTGCCCCCCCTTGCCCCCCCCCCTCGCGACGCCCATGCCACCGTATGATTATCTCCGAAACCTCCACGAATTTTCCGTATCAATTCATCGAATATAGTTATAGTACGGCAGCCCAGAGCATTTTGGTCAAACGAACAAGGTACCAATATCCGAGCACAGAAACATTTATTGTGCAACCTAACATATTCAGATATAGATGTCTGCCGGGGATCCCCTGCTCGGCATGTGGCCCCTGGGGCCCAAAAGAAGGGGGCAAATGATGGGCTGGATCAAACAGTGGAGGTACCACATAAAACCAAGTTTAAATGAACAATTACACCCTACTAGATATAAAATATCCATTGCCAGACAAATTGTCTGCCAGACACATCCAAAGTGGACAGAGGAGGGGCGTGGCCGTCACCCCCTCATTTTCTTTTTCGCTGATACAGTTGCAACACGATGATTAAGAAGAAAATAAAACTAATTTATATTGATGCCTTAGCACCTGTAGAAAATGAAAATGTAGCCTAAGAGTGATTTCAGGTCAGATTAATTAACTTAAGAGTGGGGCAAAAGCGCGAAGGGGGGCGTGGCCGCCACCCCCTCCGTGTACATTTCGCTTATATCGTCGCAATGCAATTTTTAAATCATGCCAAACTTCTCTGACAGGTGTGCTAATGTCTTGCAGCTATTTTGACACCAGTTGTATGAAATTGGGCATACCTTCTTCGCCAAATGTCCATTTTCTAACTTTTCCCATTGATAATGTACACGTATGCACATGTGCATGGAAGTGCCCATGAGAGTGGCTACTAACAGATCGAACGGAAACTTCCCAGATGCATTACAAATTTAAGTGTATGAAAATAAAACCAGATTTTATTGATGCATTGGTAGTTTTAGAAAATTGCATCTTAAGAATGATTCTAGGTTAGACAAATTAACTTAAGAAAATAGTGAGGGGGCGTGGCCGCCACCCCCTCCATGTGCATTTTCGTCCATATCGTCACAATGTGTTTGTTTTTAATCGTGCCAAGTTTCTCTGACATATTTACTGATGTATTTCAGTTGCTTTGAAACCGTCGTCGCCAAATGTCCATTTTCCAAATCAGGGAGGCCTAATGTTAAGTTTTCCATGATCATGTTTAATGTCCATGACAGTGCGCATGAGAGTGCCGACTTAAGATGACCATGGCAACTAAACATTTTGAGAGGTTTAATTGAAAGTTCACATATGTACTACATATGTCCGGTGGTCTTTTTTGTTTTAGTACGGGTAATTACATTGAAACACACAGGACTAGCAGGAGATGACTAGTCATAGAACAGTAACAGCTTTGGGATTGGGCTGAAGATGGAATTGAATCTTAATGGGCAGCAGTGCAGGGCAGTTCAGTTCAAATGTTTTGTACAATTGAGCACATTGTAACACATTTTTTTAATGGAACATGGCAGTTTTCACTATTTAACCCAGTTGTATCCAGATCGACTTGGGTAAATCACGTTTTAACTCTTTACCAATCCCACTGGTCACCGTCAGAGTGCGACGTTTGTCCGATGTGCCTGTTGTAAATATTCATTTGCACCTGCTTTGGCATAAAAAAAAAGGGGGATGGAGATCAGAGGTTGTGAGAAAATTGTCTTTGGGGTCTAAATTCATGACAAGAAAAGGTCGCATTTTGAAGTAATTAAAAGTGGGTATACAAAGTTCACTGACCTCTCAAAGGTCACCAGAGGTCAGACATGAACTGTCCATATATGTGGAAATTCATATCATGGCAAATAGACTAAAAGTTTAGATGTGGGTCGTGAAAAAAAGTAGGGTTTACATAGTTAATACATAGCTCCATGGTTAATATCACCATTGATGTATTTTTCCCCCCATGATATCACTAAATACCTTGGGCATTAAGTTCATTGACATCTTGAAACGCACCAGAGGTCAGAGATGAAATGCCCTGCGTACGAAAATTCTTTTCATTGCATAAACACCTGCATTTAGAAGTGGTTTTTGGAAAAAAAATCCCCAAGTTAAATACTAGCAGTAGTCGAACAAATAGCTATCAATGTATACAAAAGCCATGACCTCTGTCAATTATGAATTTTTCCCATATCGGATCATTATTGTATTGTATGAAGAACCATACGAATTGTTTGATCTCAAAGTAAACAACTGTTTAAGATGTTTGACTTCAACAGTCGATACTGCTCATTAAGATTCAATTCCATCTTCAGACTCAAGTCCCAAAACTACTTTGAATAGTCATCTCCTGCTACCTGTGTGTTGTAATTACTTATAAAGTTGTATTATAATAAAATGACCACTGGACATCTGTAGTGTAATTAAGTTTCAATTCAACCCTTTATAATGTATAGCAAACATGTCAGAGAAACTTGGTACGATCAAAACATGCATTGTGACAATATACAAATGTAGGCGCAAATGGAGGGGGTGGCGGCCACGCCCCTCCACTCTTTTTGCACCACTCTTAAGTTAATTTGTCTAACCTAAAACCGGTTACATTGTAATTTTCTAAAACTACTAGTTAAGGCATAACAAAAACTTGTTTTATTTTCGTTTCAAATGAATTTGATCTGCCACTCTCATCCGCACTACCATGCTTATGTGCATGTGTGCACATTATCAATGGGACAAGTTGTTCAATTATGAATAGGAGCTCTATTTTCTTAAAATTGGTTTCAAAACAACTAAAATGCATCAGTTAACATGTCAGAGAAACTTGGCACGATTAAAAACAAATACATTGTGACGATATGGACGAAAATGCACATGGAGGGGGTGGCGGCAAGGCCCCTTCACTCTTTTCTTAAGTTAATTTGTCTAACCTAAAATCATTCTTAAGACGTAATTTTATAAAACTACCAAGGCATCAATAAAACCTGGTTTTATCTTCATACTCTTAAATTTGTAATGCATCTGGGAAGTTTCCGTTCGATCTATTATTAGCCTAGCCTTTCACCAAGGCCATCGTGGCTTAACTTGCCTGCATTAGACAATGCAGCAGACAATTTGTCTGGCAATGGATATTTTATACCTAGTAGGGTGTAATTGTACATTTAAACTTGGTTTTATGTGGTACCCCAGATGTTTGATCAAGCCCATTATTTGCCCCCTTCTTTTGGGCCCCAGGGGCCACATGCAGCAGGGGGTCCCCGGCAGACATCTATATCTGAATATGTTAGGTTGCACAATAAATGTTTCTGTGCTCGGATATTGGTACCTTGTTCGTTTGACCAAAATGCTCTTGGCTGCCGTACTATTATGAACCTGTGTATATTTTGCAGAGTTGTAATGACTCGAGTCGATGACTCGACTCGATTCCGACTCGAGTCACAATTTTTGGTGACTCGACTCGACTCGAGACCCTCATCAGAAGACTCGACTCGACTCGAGCAAAGGCTAATAAGACTCGAGTCCCAACTTTGCGAAAAGTATTTGCAATGACTTACGGTGCAAAATTATGCTCACTTCGCTTTGCGAATAGTAGTCATGTATAAATATACAACGTGTCACAGACTCCCACCTCATGGTTCTAGAACGCACGAAATACTATCCAGGAACCAGATTGTTAAACATATTTTCTAATTCGCTGTTTCATCATTGGCTTTGGGCAATTTCTTATAAAGCGCTTGGATTCGAACGCTGGCTAAACTTATGGCCTCCTTTTATAAATTTTGGTATATACTGTTTAAATATTCGTGACTCGAATTGACTCGAGCTAAATATTTGACTCGACTCGAGTCGACTCGACCTTTTGACCTAATGACTCGACTCGACTCGAGTCACTTCTTTAAAATGTCCCGACTCGACTCGATTCACTTCTTTAAAATGACTCGACTCGACTCGAGTCACTTCTTTAAAATGACTCGACTCGACTCGAGTCACAAAAATCAGTGACTCGTTACAACTCTGATATTTTGTGAGAATGATTATTTTCTGTATCCGAATTAAAGTAGATCAGAGGATTACATTTATCCTGTGGGAAATTAAAATCCAAGTCTTGCCATAATCATTCAGTCTTTCCGAACACAACCTTTGGGAAGTAAAATCAACCTCATTTTACTAGATTTTGATATCAAAAAACAATATTCTCCATAGCGAGAGTTATAGGAATTGTGACATCAATACCTTTGTTTAGAACTAAAAAGCAGTCACAACAGATGGTAAAATGACCTTGTATACGTAGCACGAGCCGCGCCATTAATTTAAGCAATTGATAACGATACAAGGCCACATGCATTTATTGTCTCCAAATACTTAATTGTTCTACGGAATTTTTAGATTTACTATTGATTTTGGTAACCCAGTAGATTAAATGATGTGCAATACTTAATATCATAAACTATGCGGATTGAGGAAAAATGTGTACATGTATGTACATGTATGAGGAACACACTAGAACAAATATGAAACCCGCCCAATCTATATATAGGGCCGACATGTGCAATGATCCAGGGGCAAAAACTATTATCTCTCTCCAATATAATGTAATTGTTGCTTGGCTGTACACAGCGGCGTAGCCAGGGTTCTCATTTAAGGGAGGTGGGTGCTTGAGGTTACAATGCATAAAATGGAGGGGCGCCCAAAAATGTCATCCATGCTGAAAGATAGACAGGTATTTTTCACCGGACACCCGCCCTCCGTAAAAACGATTGGGGGGGGGGGCGGGGTGGACAACACATTCCCACGGGGGCGCTTTTCAAAACGTTAATGGCTACATTAGATAATAACTACCGCTATTCGCTTCCAAGGGACTCACAATAAACAGCCACTCGCGAAAACAAAAGAGTTTTGGTGAAAAATTCGCAAAAAAATCGCGGAAAAGGGATTTTGTCTTTACAGCTAATCATGGTAACTCATAATCTCATATCGCTGTGCTTTTATCTGGATGCCAACTTTTTAGTTGGGTGGGGGGTGGCGACTGGGGGAGAACTTTTTATGGGGGCGTTCGTGTCCCCCCGCCCCCCCCCCCCCCCCCCAGCTATGCCGCTGGCTGTAGGCCTACATATGGATCAATACTACAGACATATTACGGAACCCATTTATCTATGAAAACTTAAGCCCCAGTCACACATTCACGGTTGGAGCTACGAATATCCACGGTTTACCAAGAATCAATCGATCACGATGAACCGTCGAGTTTCAAGGAGAAATCACGCAGGAAAATGCACGCAGTTTCAGGAAAGATGGCCACGACTGTCCTACGGTTTCTCTACGAATACACCACGGTTTGTCAAGAATATGGACGGATTGTTGAAGAATATCGACGATATTACTAAAAAAATAATGACGTTTAATAACCGTTACGGTTGTCTGCGATTGAGCCACGGATGACCAACGTTCTCCTACGAATAAAGCACACATATTCGAAGTACAACCTGAGCAGAATCCTAGCATATCCGGGCAAATCCGCACGACATTCGTAGCAAATTCGTAGAGATTTCTACCATGAATGAGCTACGAGTCTTAAGAATATGTACGGATAGCCACGAATAACACTACGAATCTGTACGGTTGTCCTACGGATGTTCCACGGTTGCACTGCGGATTGATTTTCATGACGATTCACTTCGGAAGTTTGGAGAGTTTAAAACTTCCGTATCCCCTTCAGGACAGCAATGCCAAAGAAAAATGACGGATAACCACGGATGTACCAACTAAGGATGAATACGGTACTCCCACGGTTTATCACGAGTTTCAAACCGTGGATATCGGTAGCACCAAACCGTGAATGTGTGACTGGGGCTTGAAGAGCCGCATTTGGGTAAATTCGGTTTATAGCCAATATACGCTTTAAACCCATCCCGCTATGAGACCAATCCATGCAACCCAATCTAACAATGGCTCACTTTAAATGGAAAATATAAGTGACTGGGATGTGCCTTTGTTAATTCCCAAAAACCTACTACCGGGGTGTTAACAACTCATGGGCGTCGCCAGGGTTTTTTTCCGGGGGGGGGCAAAGCAAATTTTCTTAACTTTTTCCATGTATTCTCAATTTATCAATTTATTCGAGCGTGAGCAGGGGAGCATTTGCCTTACCCCCCCCCCCCCAATCAAATTAAAAGCAATATGGCTTCGCACCTCTTTTTCCTTTTTTTTTTCTTTGTCCTTTTTTTTCGTTTTCCAGTTGGGCCCCTTGCCCCCCCCCCCTCGCGACGCCCATGTAACAACTTGAAGATCGATTGTATCACAATTTATAAGGATACGATCAATTGTAACTCATTTGTTGATGAACCCCCCCCCCCCCCCCCACCCCCACCCCCAACCCTCCCCCGGTGTATTTTAAAAAGATCAGAGAAGGTTATAGGGTCAAAGTGATTCAATTAAAAAAGGGAAGTAACTATTATTGTCTTCAACTTTGACATAAAACTTACTACAGTCGTAGACGTCTATCTTGTAATCCGACCCACACGACTGCTCCGGATTTCCGGAGCACTGCGTATTGCACAGGACCTCCGGCAGCCGTCCGATCCTGTTGTAGTCGGCAGCAGCGTCTCCGCAGTAGCACTCATCTCCAGCCTCTACCCCCGCATAGACAAAGTCGTTATCCGTGCAGCAAATCTCGATGCAGATCTCAACGGTCATGATGGAGCTGTCGCATGCTGTGTTGGTGTGGTCACAGCCAGCGCAGCGGGGATCGTGCTTGCCTTGCGCGCACAGCCGGGAATAGTCCGACAGCAGACGGTCGGTGTCGTCTGCAAAACAACCGATGTACTGAGCCGCTGCAAAGGAGAAATTTCAAAGAGAACTGACGATGTTTTTTGCGATCGAGAAGGTCGGGTCACTGGAAAGCTTTCGCTATATAAATTAGTACTTTATTAACAACACAGGTCGCGAAAGAGTCCTTATCATGCAGGTGCAGCATTGCTTTTGATCCAAAAGAGAGAATAAGTTTCGAGTTTTTGCAACAACGTGTATGCCTACCACCGTTGCGTCATGGATATACACATCAACGTCACAAGATATGCGTTTGCAACACACTGCTCGCTTGCAGTAAATAATAATTGTGTCGCATAGTGTAGGGAAAATTTCCTGGCAATCTTTATCCCTCATTACATGTACTAGGTAGTTCAATAATTGTAGGCCCAGCCACGAAACAGCAGGATGAAACTGATATTAACAAAAGAGGCAAAGAAAATGTACATGTATTTCCTGCTCTCACCATAAGACATACATTCTACTCTAGCAGTCTGGCACCCATTCTCCACCGGGCCCCACTCTCCCTTATTGCAGTCAGCCAATGCTGTCTCTCGTCCGGTGCACTGCAAGTTGTCAAGGACTAATGGAAGCCCGGGGTTAGGCAGCTCCGTGAAGTCCGTGGCAGGGAATTTCGCCCCATTATAACCTGAAAAGAATTGGTAAGACAAGAACTGATTTTACTATATAGGCCTACAAATTGGGTCTACAACGAGGCACGTTGGTTGATCTGGTCGACAACATGACGGACCGGACTGAGGCATCGATTGAATAAACCTTCAAATCCACAACTTAAAGGCTGTAGACTAGTTACTGGTCAACTTCATGAGCAAAGTTCACACAATTGGTTAGCTTGCTGCAAATCTGCACTTCAAGGAAAATAAATTGATATAAACCTCAAATTGTTTAATGAGCCAAGATTCAGGTCCCAACTTCATAACTCAAATGTTTAGAGATTGTATCAATCATGCATTCAGCAGCTATCTATGAGTTGTGTTTTGCTATGTTAATACATTTACAATGAATGCACAAGAAGTCTACTAATGCATTTCTCTGTCGAACAAAACGCACACATCTCAAAGATGGGTAATGCAAACGATAGGAATATAGATGTAAATACAAGATAATGTAGCTTTTGTTTTCATGCGTCAGTCTAGTTTCCTGTATTCCGTATTCGCACTTTCTTAGGTTTGTACTAAAGTCATGAATAGGCCTATCACTCGCAATTTACAGGAGGGAGCCTGAGTCAGTTGGTTTTTAATTACCGCTTGTAATTGTCTGAAGTTCATGGATCATTTATTTGATTTGATTTATTTGCAATTTCCACACAATGATGATACAGTTTGAAAATAAGTTAAGATTTAACAAAACACATCAAAATATATCAAAAACCTAGAAAATCCCCATGCAGTGGAAAAAGCGGGGACAACGCAAAAATGAAGTTTATAAAACTTATTTCCATTGCGGTCCCAAAATATGTCTTATGCATTGTACCTCCTATAGGCCTACATATACAGAGTATAAAAATCAACAGTTCATATTAAAGCCGACAAAGCATTTTCCAGTTATTAAAAGCACGTATACAAAGTGAGGAAAAAAATATATATACCTAGGCTTAATACACGATATCTTAAATATAAAACCATCAAAAATTTTCAATTACTTAATATTTCACCCAAAAGACAACACTACGAATTACGACCTACCCAGACCTATATTATACATCTTGTTAACATCAAAATGTATGATGCACATGCACTTGATTAAGACAATAAATTAAAATCATCTGCTTAGATTTAAATCAAATAGACAAAAATAAAAGACTAAACTATTCAAAAAATAATGGTAACAGTGGTTAAAAAAATATACATGTACATGTATATAAGATGAAGTTCATATAAAAATATGTTTGATTTAAATTCGCACAAGGTATTCCTTGTCAAAAGTGCATTAGTACAAAAATTATTCCTTCAGAATTACCCAAAAACAAAAGTTTAGGAAAAATATTGGCCACTGCTTTTTTCCAAACAAGCTGTTAAACGTGATTTATAAGTTAAAAAAAGGAAGTTACTCCAAGAAAATGAAGAAAAGCTGACATATATTAGTACACAAAGCTTTGGAGACACCATCGCTCTGCCCTGAATGACATCACACCCTGGCTCATTTAGGCAATGCGGAGGCCATAACTTGCCATGATACTTAAAGTTTATCTGGTTTTATAGGCAACCAAATTTCAATTAACTAACGTTTAAAAGCTAGTGTACCGTTGGAAAAAAGTCACCTTGTTGCTTGCAAACTACGTGGGCGTCGTTGTGGTCCCAGGCCGTGTCACACACCCTTCCCCACTGACCGCTATGAAAGATCTCCACGTAGCCGCTCTGACTGTTGATACCTCGCCTTAGCCTTACTGAACCTTCCCTCGGACTTTGAGCTGTTAGGAGAAGACAAAGTAAACAAGACGAGGATACTTCGACTAAATCATACTGAATCTTCCCTATTATACTTTCAGCTGATAGGAGAATTCAAAGTAAACAAGACAAGGATACCTCGTCTAAGCCTTACTGAACCTTCCCTCGGACTTTGAACTGTTAGGAGAAGACAAAGTATACAAAACAAGGACACCTCGCCTAAGCCTTACTGAACCTTCCCTCGGACTTTGAGCCGTTAGGAGAAGACAAAGTATACAAGACAAGGACACCTCGCCTAAGCCATACTGAACCTTCCCTCGGACTTTGAGCCGTTAGGAGAAGACAAAGTACACAAGACAAGGATACCTCGCCTAAGCCTTACTGAACCTTCCCTCGGACTTTGAGCTGTTAGGAGAAGACAAAGTATACAAGACAAGGATACCTCGCCTAATCCTTACTGAACCTTCCCTATTGGACTTTGAACTGCTAGGAGAAGACAAAGTATACAAAACAAGGACACCTCGCCTAAGCCTTACTGAACCTTCCCTCGGACTTTGAACTGTTAGGAGAAGATAAAGTACACAAGACAAGGATACCTCGCCTAAGCCTTTCTGAACGTTCCCTCGGACATAGCAATGTCCCCCCCCCCCCCCCCCCCATCCGCTCTGCCTCTGGATACGCCATTGCGACAAGGACTACACAAACCAGCGTAAAGTAGCGTGTAACAGCATCGTGGGACCATGGACCTGGTTCAAGTTGAATGGCGTTGGGCGGGCTGCGGTAGGAGTTAACAGAGTAAGGGGAAGGGTGTGAGAAGGGTGGGGAAGCGGGGATGTGTGGGCTGGGGATACGACGGGGACAGAGGAAGGGTTGATGAATAGTGCGGCAGGGTTGGATGAGGGGCGGAAGGTGGAACGGTGTGGGCTTGTGGGAAGGGGTGAGATCAGGGTCGTGATGGAATAAAGTTTAGGGGTTACAACTGAGAAGGGTGTGCCCGTCTGAGCGGCAACAATCGCGCAACGTTTACGTATATAGAATTATGTACGAGTGGGGAACATTTATAAAAATGGCGCTGTTATACGGATACGTATGCAGCTTGGAAAAGTAGCTTATATCGCCATTGTATGTGGTTATTTTCACCAAATCCACAATTATATCTTAATATTGTGATGTGAAATGCACATTGCTCACCAACTAGTTTTTTTTTGTCCGGAGCCGCATAGGCCTACGTATCCCGTACGCATACCATGCCAACGGGGACCATGCAGGCTGTGCGTCCAGACAAATTGAATCTAGATATCTCAATATATGGATGTGAAATGGACATTGCTGACTACGTGCCCGATAAAATAACGCAAAATGGCGATTTAACAGGCGATTTATTTTTTAGCCGTATACACGTGTCCCGTATCCCAATATCCAAACGGATCAACCCCTTTGGGCACTTTGTGAACTTCCAATTGTGTAAAATTAAAGATAACGTGTAACAGTAACCCTATCTAGTAGCTGTAGGCCTAATGCATACCTTTCATCGGCGGAACTTGGCAGAGAAGAAGAAAAATACAGTCGACAAAAAGGCACAATTCCATGTGAACAATGCAATGCATTATGATGTTCATTCAATCACAGTGCACAAAAGGTGTCATTTCGAGCTGTCATCGGATGTCGTAACAAGCTCCAGCCTTAATTCCAATGTGACGAGAGTCTCTCATTGGAATATTATACAATATTCCGCAGTTCGGACGAATCACTTGTAGGGTCGTTTGTCATCATTATTCTCGTTGGTAATGGATACTTTTTAATATTCCTTTTGACACGGTAACATGACGACCGGTAGTCCACGTTGTATAATGTCTGTAGTTGAAAAACAAAACGGTTAACAGAGCTGCTTTCTCACGATGAATGTCGATCGATGAACGATTGCAGTATATTTAAATGTATCGAGTGCACACAAAAAATCGATGAAATATTCATGGAACACCTGGTGAATTGTGCCCACGCCAGTCGCCGTGGTGAAATGTAGGCTGTCAAAAATAAGAGTTTCATGCGCGTGTTTATAATTAGGAGCAGGAGCAAACTAACTACAACACAGGATAAAGACAACATATAGGCAATCAATATGTATACTAAACGTTTTTTACTAAAAAAAAAAAAAAACATGTTCGTGCTGCGCTGTCGTGCGGTCGCGGTGTCCTATGAAATTATGACTAACACGTAACCGGGTCTTTTTTTCATAGAGTCAAACATCCCAGTTTGCATAGTTACAGACAAAATTGGACTGTCGTGCAGTGTTTGCACTCTCATGTCATGGTGGGAAAACAATGGAATGCGAAGGTCACATCGAACAGAGTTCAGGCTAAACATCGTGAGGTCAATATTTGAAATAACACCAGGAAGTGTACCCTGCAATGCGATGCGATGCGATGCGATGCGATGCGAGGGTGCAGCCTAGCCTACACCAACTCGGGACTTGATCGCGGCCCTCAATTCATCCCTCTCCAGCATTAGGGTCGGGCCCCTATGTCAGTGAGACCAACATCCCGTCGCAGCGTGTCGATGTACGTGGCTCGTCTCCACCCCCTCCTGGCAGTTCCATGAGTCGGCTCCCACAGGATGGTGTTGTGGGCTGCTAGCTCCGGGTGGCGGGTGCAATGGCCTGCCAGAGCCATCCTCCTCTCCCTGATCTTGTCTGAGATGTGTGGGAGGCCTCCATAAAGGTTGATGTTCCTGATGTGGTCTCTCCAGGAGACATTCAGAGCCATGCGCAGCATCCTGGTGTAGACGCCATCAAGCGATTTCTCTCAAAATTAAACACTTCTTACAACACATTCTTGCTATCAGTTTGTAAATATGTTTAAATACTAAACATGTTAGCAATATTGATGGATTAGTGTTTAGAAATTGAACATTGATGTTTAGGAATTGAACACGTCGTATAGTGATTGCGGTCGATTACTTCCCTCGCGCTTACTCGTGCAAGCGCGACAGCGTTCGATTTACCCTCTCACGTGACTTCTCGCGCTTACTCGAGCCTGGCCCAAGTAACTGACTCGCCGAACCGGTTACTTGGGTAAGTATCCCATAAGGCCATGCAATAAACATGGCTGCCAACGTGACGTCCGGCAGGTGCCTCAGGCTGTGTCCGAAACGGGATGAAAAAATGTTGCAACCTGACGCCCCTTTTTTTCTTCATATAGGGCCTATCATCTCAATAAAGGTCATTCATTGCAAAAACGATGATAAGACGTGAATCTGGGACTGAGAATAAACATTTCCAATTTTGTTAGGAAATAGAACATTTTCTCGACTCTCTATAGACTTTGTACACAAACCGCTGAAATGGCGTCAGGTTGCAACATTTTCTTTTTCGAAACGGGCTTCCAGAGCTACGGCGACGTCTATTGTCAGCGCGTCCCCGCGTATTTCTAATGGGCGTGGACCTAGACCTAGCTCTAGACAGTTGATTCGGATGCAGATTTGAATCGCCGACACAGAACACTGATATATAGGTAACCATAATGTCACAAAACAGCAGAATGTATATAGTTTTTATAAAAATCGGACCGTCCTGCAGTGTTTGCACTCTCATGCCTTGGTAAAAAAAAAAATGGAACGCGAAGGTCACGGGCAGAGTTAAGTTCAGGCTATATGGTTACAGTCATAGGATGGAGAGCGCATAACAGGTGGGGAAGAGACACTTCACAACACAGAGTTGAATGGAACTGTTTTCACATATCCAACAATAGATAAATGACGTAAATTCCACACAAAATATCCACACACAAGTTACACCATTTAATTGAAATTCAAACATCACGTCAGAATACCATTACCAAAAGCAACACTGCGTCAAATGACAGCGAGTAACCTGGCCATATACTAGACACTGTACTTTCAGAATTTGTAGTAGTTAACTACATCTATATAGGGCTGTAGGCCCTACTACTTCTTACGATTCGACCAGGCTATAAACCACAAGCTTAACAGCAGCATTTTATTTGTTTAGAAACCCGTGTATATCAAATGATTTCGCTCATTATTTTGTCGAAAAGAAAAGGAATGCTTATAAGGCACCGTAGGCCTTTTCTAGAAAACAGTGCAGTATGAGTATTTTGTTTCTACTAAACTCTTCACAATACAGTACATACACTATTGGTATCAAATACGACTTCACCGCCTCCAAATAAGCATTACACCAGATGTTATTTATACCATTACCCTTGCAAAACGTCATGACCCATTTGACATTGTCTGGGGCCTAGAAAAGGGCCAATAACAGTCAACATTCCCTGCCTAACCAGATACTCAGTACCCGACTATCAATGAACACGAGACAGTGATACCGTTAACAGACTGATTCACGAGTCGGCCAATCGAATGTGGGGCGAACCCTGTAACATTTCTTTAAAATTATAGTACACATGATGCAAAACAAGCAAATGTTTGTCTCAAAATAAAGTACACCCTTCTTTAGATATTGATCAGAATTAATGAACTTAATATGTTTGGATAGAGGACATCTTGATGCCCTTGTCCTTGTAATTGCCTCTTTCTGAAATATTCAGTACATTTCGAATCATTTACATTAAAAAACGGGTATATCTGAGGCACCCTGTATAAGCCTAGCCTCTATGTGCTCTGCTCCTTGATAAATTATGAAGTACGAAGCAAAGTGATCTCACGCTGTCGACAAAACTATTTCTTCTTTTTTCAATATAAGGTAAATCATGCCATTTAAAAGAATCCGGCGTCTTCCCATTCAAGAGTGCAGAGTAAATAAAGCAGATTCGTCGGACATCATCTAAAACGGCAATCTCAAGAATACGGCAAATGATAAATTAATGGTGAACAATGAAGGGGCTAATGCACAAATGTGATATTATTTATAAGCAAACGTTATTCTGATGTTCGACAATAGGCCTTTGTCTTAAATATTGTTCAGTGTAACAGACCTATCGTGACAGGGACAACTTCTTGGGGCACGTCCAGTAAGCTTCTATTTTAACTGATACCTTCCATGTGGGCGTCACACGATTTCTTCTAAATATATCACTAATACCGAAATGTTACCGATACCAATAAGTTGAATATCAATTTCAAACACACTGAAGTATGAATTAATCAAATCCCTTCTTTTTTATCACACTTTACACCCGTCTCTTTATTCCCGACTCTTTCAATGATGTACCGTCTGTGCTATCTTGGAGTTCACCCCTAAACGGTTCAACAAAATGATATTTTTCTAGCGATACAAAAACTATTCACTTTTGAATGAGACATTGGACGTAAAAATAAATGGACCACATTCAGTTATGGAATAATTGCAAATTTTGAATTTCTTGCTAGCCGAAAATAACCCAGTTAATTCTTGCGGGATGGACTGGTTCCTGCCACCTAATTTATCGATAATGTAGGGAGGGGAACCAGTCTAATCGTTAGGTGGAACTATTTGTGCGCAAACAAACTCCCAAAATAGAAACAAGTTGTAGTTAAAATAAAATGTACAAGTTAAAAAAAAATCGACGGTGCATCTTAAGAATTACTTCATTATTAGTACGTAAAACTGTCAAGTGGCTTCTTCTTGTACCCACTATCACATCATTTTAATTCCCGGTGCAAGACGAACCTGCGGTATTTGCTCGCTATGGTCTACAATTATTAACTTTTTACTGAGACAAACACAAATTTAATCGAATAAATTGTCTAAGGCTCATTATCACTATTTTGATATTTAAATCATTGATGCACAAATTGCGCAAAATCACAATTCTTAGCCCAAACGAGTAGAGTTTATGTTGTTTCTCGATAAGATTTTGGGGCTCTACATCGTTATTATTTCAACATTGTTATGTGTCTAAACACCCACGATCGATAATTATTATTCTTAAATTAAACAGAATTACTGCAACGAACAAAGTATTTAAATTATTAAATATTATGCCAAATCCGTCTACATAATAGAGCCTGCCTGAAAGTAAAAGGTCACGTGACGAGATTCTGGAACCCTCGCGCGGCCCACCTACGGGCATTTTACACTGGTTGCCCTTTCTATTGCTTTAATTTTTGATAGAATGATTTCTAACCGTAATTACACCAAGAAACATTCATGTTGGAATTTTATCTTGGTATTCTTCATGAATAATGGATGAAAAATCACTTGGAGATTGGTAAAAACGAATTTCATTTACGACCTTTCACATCCGACATTTTCGTTCCCAGCTCTACATGTTTCTTTCACGTTTGTTTTCACATTGTGTACATTTTTCAGAACGAGAATGTATAACGACGCGAAGATTTACCTACCTACAGCCGATGGGTTCTAGATTAAGTCGGGCTGGCTCGAGTGCAGTCCTTATCAGCGGTTACTTTAGATTTGTTTTCGTTAATGCTAATGAGTCAGTTCAGTTTATTCAAAAAGATTCAGTTTTCACTTAATGACCGCCACAAAATGATTTCATAAATGTTTATCTATGTACGAGTACACCGATTTGCACTAGTCCGCATGCATTTTAGATTTTCGGAAATGAGAGGTAAATTTATGGAACGATATTACTCTTTCACGTCATTTATCAGTTTCCATAACTTTATATGCTATAGTAACAATTTTATGAAGGCATTTTTTTTTGGGGGGGGGCGATTTTCTTAAGAAATCAATGCACCAAAAATAATTGCAAATTGTAGATTTTTTTCCACTCTAAATGTCCTATTTAAGGGTTCCAGAAGCGCGCCACCAGTGGTAAACTTTCAGGCTGTATTATACTGTTGTATACTGGCAATAGTACATGTACTTGGTGATGGGCGTTAAGCATGATATAGAAAACGGCCACAGTAATCTTGATACAGATTGTTAAGTTTCTCATAGGAATATGCAGATGCAACACATGCGTATTTGGCCTTTTTTGCAACTATTAATAATAATAACAATAACAACAACTTGACAATAATGCCTATAGTAAAAACGATTTAAAATAGAAAATACAGAAAAATATTATACAATGGCACCGCAAGTAATGTTGTCACACAACGCAAAAACGTAATGCAATTAATCTTTTATAAGTTAAAACTTCATCAATTGTTTTTAAAAAATGAAACTAGTATCAATTTTACAACAGAAAAGTTTATTTGTGCCTCGCAATTCAGTGAAAAAGAAGAAGAGAAGCACGACTGACTACAAAAGGCTTGTATATATAATAATCCACATCAACAAGTCCAGTATGTACAGCATAATTACTGCCTCAATAAATTTTCTCAGAAAACGTATTCCTAATATACAACTTTAATTATACATTCATGATTTCATGTACATACACATATGTTTGAATTAATTTCTTGAATTAAACAAGTTTGCTTTACATAATACTTTAAGCAAGATCATATAAATACTATAACTATAGGCCATGCATTAAAAAAAGTCAATAGTTTTTCCTAAAATGTCCACACAATGGACTTCAAAGGTCATCGGAGCTTCTGAACCAACACTGATCAAACCTCGTTCCGAAGGCTTAATTCATTTTCCACCTCGTATTACGTGTTTTAACGTTCAATGTAAATTATAAAGTATACTCTACCTAAACAAAATCCTCCCATCTCCATTTTGCCTATAATAATATGAAGTGTAAAACTGCATACTGGATGGGCAAAGATGATAACATTATAACTGAGAACAAAAATCGTGTTTTTGGATCTCACACCGCCAGTGGCGCACCCGGGGGGGGGGGGGGGTCAGGGGGCTTGAGCCCCCCCCCCCCAAGAAGTTGTCAATTATTTTTTTTTTAGTCCCACGAGTTGACCTTGGTGATATGTATGTGGCCTATTTTCGAGTAGTTTAATAGGGGTAAGTGGTGCCACCAACGTCAAAATAATCCCCCCCCCCCCAAAAAAAGGCAAAAAAGTAAAAAAACAGTTGGAAAAAAAATTGTGAGCCCCCCAAAACAAATCCTGGGTGCGCCACTGCACACTGCGACATACGAATCGATCCCGTCTGTAACCCTGAAACTGTATACGAAACCACACTGATTAGCATGGCTAGGCACCAGCTTATTTCGTACCTAATTTGCATGTGCAAGATTTTTGAACATGCAAATTATGCAATACCAGGGCGAGAGAGCAGGTAGAGGGAGCGTACTGCTCGACACCATGGGACTGAGGTTTATATTGATCTTGTTGTGTTCCAGTATGTGTGTCCACCATGCGTGGTAACACTCCTATTGTCTTGACACTTTAGTTGCAACTATGCATCAACTACTTCGATAACATTTTCACACGACGCCACATAATTCACAAAAAGTATTGTTTTAGTCTTGATGATTTTCATCACGAGGTATCAGTTTTGCAGCAATACTGATTGAGTATTCTGGTTCACTGACCTCTCAAATTTAACAAGACTTGCGTATACTATTAGCAATGACTTTAACATGTTTGGTAACACTTATTACGTTATGAAGTTGAATTCAAGTAAATTCAACATATATTTGAAAAATATGAGGCAACATTCTTAGTAACAATTAAAATAAGAAAATCGCTCACCTTATAATGACTCCTACGGGTTGATCTCGTTAAGACATCATTAACAAATCACACTTAATCTAACACAGATATCTGTAGTGGACCATCACTGTACTCAGTCTACAATTGTTAACCGAAACAGGGTTGGACTAATACTAAATACATGTAGAGGGTTTTGTATAAAAGGAGCACCATAAAATAAACAGTATTTGCTCACCAACACTGCTAGTCACGAAACGCCTCCTTCAAGGAGAATGACCGGGTTTTATTGTTTTTAATTTTAGGGGTAATAAAAATAATGCAGACGATAAAAAACAGTCTTAATACATTCCTCATAATGTTTAAGGTACAGGTAATTTACAATATTAACATCACGCGTGTAAACTGTTACTGGTGCAATGCATACGAGCATGCATAACGAGTGTAGCATTTTAACACGATTGTTAGAATAGCATTTTCTACACTGCACAGAATTAAAAAAAAAACAAATACACGCGTACACTTACAGGAAAATCTCTTTGTCACAATGCGCACTATTCTATTTTTTTCGGCTGACCTTCAACTATAATGCATCTTGAGTCCAATTTCCTCAGAATAAAGAAATGAATTTGTAAAAGGTTCAAATCCAATTTGGTTTTTCTTCTACAAAAATACTGTCCAAAAATGTTTGATTAGGCCTATAATGCTCAGAAACGCATCTGAACGAAATTATTTTTTGAGTGACTGCGGCCACAAGTCTCAAGAATAGTCTTGTGTCAAAAGTTTATAACTTTCTGGGACTGAGTGACAACTGCAACCACAACTCTCACGAGAAACAGTCTTGTTACAAGACGTTTCCGTTACTCTGATTAACTCTGTAGTCTTGTAGAAGACGCTTCTCCTGTTGATGTTAGCAATTGTGTATATAATCTCGAACCTCATGAGAAATTATTTGCAGTTCTTATATTTAATTCACCATGACGTAGATGTATGTGTTTGCCTTAAGAGTAGACAATTCCCTAAAGAATTGTGTCAAAATGCATTGTCTGTGTATGCACTTACATGAAGTATTAGTTTATCGATTGCGCCCAGTAAAGTAATTTCTGGTATTTTAATTTTCATTGTAAAATTACTCCACTTGACAAAAAGTCTCATATAACACTCGTACAGCACAACCACTTGTACATTAATGGACAGGAACGTTGCTCGAATTTATCTATATACATGACTGCGAAGGAAATATACTTTGGAAACTCTAAAAGCAAAAACTGGAATAGCGAGGCCACACATTTTACATTTTCTTCTTGAAATAACAAGGCGCTGCAGCACTGATCTATACCATCGGCACAAGATGGGGCTTATTTGAGTCCTTTTTGTCTCACGTTTTCATTATTTGTCATTGATTCGGATAGAAGTAACATTTGCTAATGGTTGAAAAGTCCAACAGCAGTGTCATGTCGGCAACCATGCATTATTTATCTCTTACTTCATTTGAAATTAAAGACATGAGAAATGGCCTTCCAAGAATGATCATTAATTGTTGTTGATTAGAAAAACTAGGGCTGTGTCCGAATGACTTGGCTACGCCTGGAGATTACACACGTGCCTATGGAGGTGGCTGCAGCCGCTTCCCATAGACTTGTCTGTTATTTCAAGCCGTAGCCAACTAATTCAAACGCAGCCTATTATTATATGATACTGCTGATAAGCATAGCCCCCTCTTGCGCTGATCCGAAAGACGATTTACCCGATGAAGTTCTCGCACCCAGCGGCCATCTTTCTCTCATAGCGCTACTGTGCAGATCATGAGATCAATGACACAAGCCTAAGATGGGATGAAAGCCTCGTTTTGAACCATGCAAATGTGCGCTAATTGGACGCCAAGGTGGCCGCCGCGTGATGAGATCTAGTACCTGGACGTCATCACAGCTAATCGTCCATCGCACCGGATGCCAGAGGGATAGCCTGCTCTTCTTGACCGTCCACTTGTTGCATGTCCATATCGGAGCCCTCATGCATGTCAATGTGATACTCATTCTCTGCCTTAGTTGGCTCGGCTGACTCCTGCCTAGAGATACCCGTATATCTGCGGATACAAATGGCAACTTTTAGTTTTCGTCTGCGTGAACAGTTCCCGACTTAGACCACGGAGCACCATGCTTGGATTAATATCATTATACCCCATTTGAAACTTATTCGTTGGTCATGCACTATGTCATTATATATCTGGGTTAAACGTAGACACAAATTTAATGCTTTCAAGCTATTATTCGAGGAGTTTATGAGCAATCGGTGGTATTTTGGGCTTGGAAGATAAGCGGAGTTTGCCAAATTTTTGAAGGCAATGTGTAAACAATATTTATGTGCTGGATATTGCCCTCTTAACGTCAGTGTAGTTATGCACAATGAGTACAACGTACCTCTTTCTGTGTCAGTCACTCTCTAAATTCCAAAGAGTGAATTTAGGGACTAAACATTTCTGAGTGAAAATCACTCTCATTTTCGATAGAAATAGTCTGAAAAATCAACCACTTCAGTCGAAGCTCGAGTGAAAACTCGACCTTTACGATTGAAGAAATTTGGCTTTAAAACGTCTAGTCCCTAGTTTCCGACTGTGGGAGTGAATCTTCACTCGAATGGAGTGAATTTTCACTCTTTTGAATTTAGAGAGCACACTTTTTGGCATTTCGATCAGATCAGAATGGTAGGGTGTAATCTAGTGGTAGTTTTTATATATGCTCAGATAAAGCCTGTTGTGTCCCAATAGTTTCATTAGATTCTGACGTTTTAAAGTAGAATGTCGACTTTGTGGATACCGTCATGATTAGGCCCAAAAATACTTCTGCTTCCTATTACATGGCATTTGAAAAGAGGGTAGGTAGGTAGGGAAATTTGTTTTGTGTACGATCATATGGAGGTGTCTGCGTGTAGTCAAGGGTAAAAAGTAGTAATTGATGGTTTTGGTTTTTTTTCCTCATTCCCCCCCCCAAAAAAAAAATTAAATAAATAAATAAAAAAATAGGGTATAGGGGCTGTCAAAATAGGGTAGGTAAAGTAACCTGAAGCAGAACTGGTTTTTTGGGGTGCCTAAAGTTATAATTTGAAGGGTATTAAAAAATGTGGAAAGGATCCTGTTGAGAAGCGTCATTTTGTGATGTGCTTCGTTCTGTTATTGGATGTAACGTACTGTTTTGCGAAGCATCCCGTTGCATATAGTTTAACGAGGTGGTGTTTGTTTTGTGCTGTGCGGCTTGTTCTGTGTATTGCAGTGTGTACAAATAAAGATGCAGTAATGTAGTACTCGTACTCGTACTTATACTCGTACTTGCACTCGAGTACACTTTTATCGTACTTGTACTCTTTCTCTGAGTCATGAGAATGTACTCGTAATAGTACTCGCCAGAAATTCAATTACCGGCGCTCGTACTCGTACCCGTTACATTCCCGCTGGACTACATGCACGGGAAAAAGAAAACAATTTATACTTTGGGGGAGGCATTCCCGCTTTGTCTAATTACTACTTTGACAGCAAAAACCCATAAGAACATGTTTACACATTGAAATCTACGCTCGTACTCATACGGAACGTTCTACACGTACTCATATGGAAATGTACTCGCGTACAACACTGGTAAGATATATCTTTATGAAATGGTCTCGATTTTTATGCTGTGGTGCTTTTAAATACTACATCATTTTGTTGTAGAAAAGAAATTCCATAATTATCTACTGATCTGCTAACTCCCCTAAGCTGTGGGTAGGCATCAAGCACGACAGGTGGGGTTTATGATATTTTGTTATGCAATCAAAACTGAAACATGAAAGGTTAGATGTTAATTATAAATGAATAATATGGTTATCATTACAGCATGAAAAAGACATGCATAATAACAGCGTGTGAATCATGCAAAGCAATCGGACCACTGTTTTTTTTAACTTTTAAATTATATGTGCCCACTTACAAAATCCGTGAAGCCACCATGGTGTTATGCTACTCAACCGCGGTCAGTAGTCTAGGGGCTAGACTATGTTATGGTTTGATACGCGATAACCCGCCGCCGCGAGAGGCGTTATCACGACCGACCAATATCATCCACGAACCGTCAGTAACAACGTCTAGGCCAATTCGTATTGGTTGTGCAATGCGCGCGCACCTGTTTGACCTAATAAAGAGTACATGTATATGCAGCACGCATTAAAAAAAAATCATAGAAGTTCCGAAGCAAACTATCAAATTTCTTCCAGTAATACAAAAGATGCAGCAGGACTTTTGAGCAATTTCACTGGTCAGCTCTTTTGTTGTGTGTAGTATGTGTGGGACTGAAAATGGACATAACAAAGATACAAAGAGAAGGGAAGATAATGACACTGGGTATCTATTTGTACGGTAACCTATGAAACACGATGACGTCATCAAGTTGGGCTATGGGGAAGGGCGCCGCTTACAGCAGGTAGGTAAACGCGCATGACGCCAAGGTGAATTAACACGAGTGAATTATAGGACATCGGGTGTAAAATACCAGCGGGTTTTTCATTAATGAAGGGGGGAGTTCAAAAGACGAAAACACGGAAAAATGAATTAAAAAAAAAAAGGAAGGAATAAATTAATGAACGAATAAAATAACCAGAAGGGGAATTTAAGTAGTGTCAATGAAAATAGTAACGTTGAAAATTAGCAATGCTTATCAGAGAAGTTCGGGGGTTGCTTTTTTGGGGGGAGGGAGGGGCGGGAGCGGGGAGGGGACCGGGTAAGCAATCAATAAGGACTCTAGCGGCGATTGCTTAATTGCCTGAAGTTGTTCAAATATGGAGACCAGCTTCAAGCTTTTAGCCTTGAAAAACAAGTAAGCATTTATTTGTATTATTAAATATGAATAAATCATTTCCTGTATAACCCGTTGCTCATAACGTAAATAGAATAATTATGATCCCCTTAGACTTTTTCAAGTTTTGACGCAATCATAATAATTAACATTATTTTATAAATGCTTTACTTTACATTACATTACAAGCACTGTACACTTTAAAAAAAATGGATATATTCTTGAAAAAGGAAATAAAGTCGTCAATAATTAAATCCACTAATTTTGACGGTAATAATAATTCATATTATTTTTAAATGCTTTACATTACAGCGCTGTACACTTAAAAAAATGCATAATTCCTTTTAAAATAAAAAACATTAATAGATTAATGATTTAACTAATTTAAATTATTAATTTAACAAATAATTAACAAATATATTACTTACTTTGCAAAAATCTTGTGGAGCCATCAACAATAACAAACATGATGCAAAGTGCATAAATTGGTCACATAAAAAATCTCAACCTGTTCACAAGCGCATTAGCATAATACTGTTTGTAACAAAAGGCCCTTTTAGGCATTTCTTATGAAGCACAGGGGTGGTGCTATTAATCAGAGAATAATCTGCTTTAATATGTTACATATGGGTCATTCCATGTCAGACCAACGCACTTTTTTACCTCATGTCTTCCGATTTTAATAAAAATGGCTGTGCTTGTAGGTCCTAATGAGCAATGAATACACACCAATTTTTAGCCCGATCCGACCTACCATGTGGTCAGGGCAGAAGCCACAAAAAAATGGCATTTTTAGAGTAAAATACCACCCTTTTGGTATAAATATGTCAAAACTATGGCAATTTTCTTCGAATATATGTGAATTTGGTATTAAAATAATGAGGATTGCATGCTCAAATCACTTCTTTTGTCAAAATTAAATTTTGTGAAAAGTAGGTCACGTGACCTTTAATATGCTATCGTGACATTTGACCCACATTTTGTAATAATGTATCATTCCGAAAATCAACGAAATAAAAATAACTTGCTAGAGCATGTCTTCCTCTATCAGAATCTACTAAAAATCAGTTGGGGTCTTCAAAATTTACAACTTTATGACTATTTTTGTACAGTTGGTAGTTTACAAATGAGTCAATTTATAGACTTTACATAAGAAATACACCAACACAACTTACTATTCCGTTTCTAAAGTTACTAAAATATATCTTGGTTTGTGAATTTCTCATTCTGAGGGCTGATGAGGTCTAACCAGACTCATAGTGTAAATTATCAGCAGTGGCGCACCCAGGATTTGGCTTTTGGTGGGGGGGGGGGGGGGGGGGGGGGGGGTCATAAATCGTTTTTTGTTCGAATTTCTGTAAAAGATTGGACCAACAAAAACTAGCCTAAAATCAAACAAACAAATTGACAATGTTGGGGGTGGGTTCAAGCCCCCCCCCCCCCCCTCCTGGGTGCCACTGATAATTAGTTATCCCACGAGCGCGCTTGGAATATGAAATAATGCAATGCTGCTGTGACCCATATGCCACTCGATGCACTACATAATTCCGTGTTCCACGAACGCAAGTGGGATTTATAACCAATTTATCTTCAAGCAAACTTGATATCAAATGCGTACACGCGGAGAAGATGTACGTGCATACATGTAGTGTATTGGTCCGTTCTGCAGGAAATAACACAACATATGTACACGTACATTTTTAATATCTGGGGTGCAATATAGCTGTGCAATATTATATAAAATCACACAGTTGTTGCTATAGATGGACTAATCAGGGTCTAGGATTCAAGTTTGCTTGAAGATAATACTTAATATTACAATCAAAGTTACCTTTACTCATTCATCACTGTGCTTCTTGAACTTTAATGACTCTCACAGACTTGGCATTTTGTTCCTTTGATATGAATTTCACCTGGACGTGAGTCCGCTGTACTGGGTGAAGGCCTGGTTACTGTTAGTGGTTAGCACACTTCAGATATTCTGATTAGACAGTTTCTTTGGAATCAGAAGGTAGAATTTTGTTTTTCCTGGCTTTGTACTTTATACATAAAAATCTAGATTAATTTTAGTAACTTAAGAAACAGATTAGTAAGTTGTGTTGGTGTATTTCTTATGTAAAGTCTATAAATTGACTCATTTGTAAACTACCAACTGTACAAAAATAGTCATAAAGTTGTAAATTTTGAAGACCCCAACTGATTTTTAGTAGATTCTGATAGAGGAAGACATGCTCTAGCAAGTTATTTTTATTTCGTTGATTTTCGGAATGATACATTATTACAAAAATTGGGTCAAAGGTCACGATAGCATATTAAAGGTCACGTGACCTACTTTTCACAAAATTTAATTTTGACAAAAGAAGTGATTTGAGCATGCAATCCTCATTATTTTAATACCAAATTCACATATATTCGAAGAAAATTGCCATAGTTTTGACATATTTATACCAAAAGGGTGGTATTTTACTCTAAAAATGCCATTTTTTTGTGGCTTCTGCCCTGACCACATGGTAGGTCGGATCGGGCTAAAAATTAGTGTGTATTCATTGCTCATTAGGACCTACAAGCACAGCAATTTTTATCAAAATCAGAAGACATGAGGTAAAAAAGTGCGTTGGTCTGACATGGAATGACCCATATATGCATGATTTTAGTTTAGCGACTTTGCATAACTAAGTTTCTCACGTTGAGTGCATGCGGAAAATCTAGTTTTTACCTACCTGCCGTGCGAGGCGCCCTTCCCCATCGTGACCTTTGAGCAGGTATTTCCTGTTTCACTTTTTTAAGCGGACTGTCCTATCTTCCCCTCTCTAGTATCTTTGACCTTAATTGCCTGCAGAAGTCGCGTATGCGCACTAGTTTCCCCCATTTTTCAAAGGTAGATTTTAGGAATTAGCCTAGACGTTGTTACAGACGGTTCGGGGATGATATTGGTTGGTGGTGATAACGCCCTCTCGCGGCGGCGCTTATCAAACAATAACAACATCTAGCCCTATGCGATCAGGTTTAATATGAAGTTAAAAGCCATGGGCGAGGGGAGCCAAGTGTGAATTGTAACAAGATGTTCGCATGCTGATCTTTTCTGATCTGATTGTCTCACATCTTCATGAGATCTGGCAAACCAAGGGCAAGTTCGAGCAAGGACCAGTGGTTAACTTGTGGTTGGTTCGTGACGTACCTAGCGCATGGCGCACTGAAGTTGAAGAGCGAACGACTCTAGTCGAACTATTGTCATATCAACGACCGTCAGAAAATGGCGGTTGCACAATTATTCAACACTTGTTGTTTCTCTTTATTTACACAAATAATAATGATTGTGCAAAGTTTAGGACATCTTACATAATCGCCAATATAATTGTACAATGGTGATAAAAGGGACATAATCATGAGCTAACATGGAAAAACTGTGCAATGAAAATGACATTTAGCGCTCACAGTTTCGTTTTCCGCCATTTTGTTGATTTAGTTGGTCCCCTCAGCACTATGGATAACCAGCTATAAATCGTTGCGCGACCAGCCGCGGTAGGCTGGTTCCCAAATAGTCGACTGGCGTAGTCAACCACCGTCGACTAGACAGAGTTCGGGCTAACTTTAGTCGAACTATGGTTAACCATTGGTCAACAATAGTTCTTGCACGAACTTGCCCCAAGCATTCAATATTTGGCGCTGATCATCTTTCGAAAAGAAAAAAAAAACCGGAAAAACCGCCACCGCTTTAAATCTTGCGTGTGCGTGACCCCGTGCGGAGAGTGCTGTTAGAACAGTATTTCTACGAGAACAAAATGGTAAAACCAAAATAGGGGATTTGTTTTCCCAGCTTTTGTTAGCACTGACATGGTATTAAAAGAATTCCTGTAGCCCAAAATCGTTTTAAACTGGTTAGTTTTACCTAAAATTGCGTCCATGTTTCACACATACTCTGGTCCTGTATTAACCCTGTAGGTCCTAAATACACGGTCAGTGGCGAGAAGCAAAAAGAAATCGTAAACAAACGAAGAAAATGGTAGTTTGATAGTGTAATTATATACAGTGTGACCAAAAACCAATGCAACCCTGAAACAGTTGCCTTTTTGAAAAACGTGATCGGTGATGTTTTATGTTTTGGATACCAGACTGAAGCTGAGAGCTTTTTCTTTCAAGTGCTGAAAAATCATGAAAACAGCCCATTGGGTTGCAGAGAAAATGCCGGTTCCGTAAAAGAAGTGATTTTTCATCCTTTCCAAAGGTGCTTCAAACAGTGAAACACGTTACTGTGAGCCCACTGTGCAATTGTCTTTCGTTTGTGCAATTTCTCTAATTTGTGATGCTGAAAATGTTTAAAATGGAACTAAAAAGGATAAGATACCTGTTCAGGTGGAAAATATAAGGTATTTCCATCAAATTCATTTGTACTCGTCATATATGCCGTGTTGTTTGTTTAAGACCATAGAACACAATGCGCCACAAGCATTTCATGCACAAATAGGTAGAGTGTAAATCCCTTAATTGTGGTAATGCCATTGAAATGGACCAAACAGGAGTTAAGTTACATAAATACACAATTGGCATTTTTTCAGCAACCCAATTTTTTTCTCAGTATTTGAAAGAAAAAGCTCACAGCTTTAATCTGATATCAAAAACATAAAAATTCACAAATCACGTTTTTGAAAAAAAGGCAAAGGTTTCAGGGTTGCATTTCTTTGAGGTCGCCCTGTACAGCTAACTGGTATGGTTATAAAACTTGCAAATGGGCAGCCAAAACTGGACGAGTCAAGAAGAATAAGCCTGATGGGTCATCACACTCTGTGTGCAACGAATGAAGTGAACAATGGTGTGTTGGTCGTACAATATAAAAAGTGCATTGCTGGCTTGCGTCAAGAGTGTGTTGACCAATGTGACTACCAGCGCGCATGCTCAGAAATTGGAAACGGGATAATATACCCTGCACGATTTGTGGCAGAGGGGTCCCCATGTCCCTCTACACACTCTATAATATTGTTGCCTAACATGCCCCCTAGATATCTCTAAAGAGTTCCTGATATTCTGGTTACACAATGACCAACACAAAAAAAGGGAGGAGGTTCCCTCTGCCACACATCTTGCTACGTATGATGTTGTTACTTCAAATTAAACCATTCAAGAACAATCCCGGTTTAGGCTGAAAAAAGCACAAGTTAATCACACAGCGTCCAAATGAGACTCGGTGGATTTAGGGCGATAACGGGGGCTAATCTAGTGTAATGGAGTTCAAATTAATTAATTTTATTCTTAATCCATTCTGATCTTCGTGCATGCCTATATATGCCTACATATGCAGATAAATCAGTGTCAATTATGAAACAAAATATGGCGTAATGAAATAAGGACTGCAACGTTTCTGACGTAAACTCAACTTTTATGTTTAAATTTCATCAGTCATTTTTTTGTTTGTCATAACGCAGCAGCGTTGGTAAACAAAGCGTTGGTGGAGACATCAATATCTTGGGGTACCGTATTATCTACATCACTCACCCCTCTTTCTTCTTTTTCCGACCAACGCAAAGCACTCCACAGATAACCATGAAGAAGATCAGTCCTAAGGCGCCCATGACTGCCAACACTGTAAGAAAATGTGGCAGAGAAGCCTGAAATAGCACCATTTCAATGGCACACTCCCAATGCTGTTGCCTATGAGCTTGCGCAGGTCAGAGGAGCAACTATTTGTTTGTGAGCATTCGCATTTTGTGGTCACGTGTCAAAACGATGCACAAAATGTGGTTTTTGTTTCGATCTGACAAGCCTCTTTTTTCAGGACTCCACTTGTTTACCAGTCTGCATAACGGCAAATGAGGACGATGAACAAAACGAATTCATCATAATGGTAGGAAGCATCACTTGCACAATCTCGTCATCCTTCATCCTGAGAGCTTTCCACTTACTTTCCTATGTTAGTTTTAAAGGTAAAAAATGGTTCAACCTTTTGTTTCGACAAAGGGTAAAATGTAAAAAAATTGCATTCGACAAAAGGTAAAGTAAAATCTTTTTTTCAATTTTGAAACTTAGGTTGTTTTTAAAACTTGCGAAATGTAGTTTAATTCATTAAAATTCATGTGTTTTATCATTTTTAACGTTTTAAATTTGCAAAATTTGAACTCTTTAAAGCTGTGACAAGTGCTTTAAAGGACAACGAAAAGTATCGTTAAATGTAATAATTAAAATGAACACTTAATGTCCTTTCAATTAAAACAAACCAGAAAACTTAGTTGTTAGACTAATTTACTTTGTCAATTCACTTCCAACTAAACTATCAAGTCGCTCTTCTATCTTGGTCGGTTCAGTCAGCGTGAAAAGCCAAATAAAAATTAGTCAATTAACTAAATAATTCTAGTTTGGACTAAGTTTAAATGGATTTCAAAATAAGTCGACAGAGACACCATTTTGACGAGACCTTTCTAGCCATCTGGGCTAGATGTTGTTTACAGTGTAATGGAGTATAATGATCAACAGTTAACCTTTATCCTAAGAAATTGGCGTTGGTTCCTGATCGAAACGAGAATTGATTATAATTATATTCTAAGTGCCCCCGACATATCAATTATTCGCCGTAACATCCAATTCAACATTAATAGGCACAACTAATAAAAGTCATCTCTGTGTTAAATGCATATCATTATAAATTCCAACTTACTCATGAACAGATACGTCTGTGTGAAGGCGAGGGAGGGACCAACAGGTGGCGCTTCTGTGAACAATGAAAACAATGACAAACCATAAATTGATAAAAACTAATGGAGAAAATTGATTCTAAAAATAGATGGGAAAAATAGTGCCCGAAATAATCACCAAAGGTGTGTAAACCAATATAGTTATCACTCTTGACAAACAATAAAAATGAATAAAGCATTGAATTTGACAAGAGGCATTTCATATGAATTAAGAGAGACTTTCTCCTTTTCTTACCAAGGCTTGATATACAGGATGAGTAAAACAAAACGAACCCCAAATGTCGGGACTATTGTTTTATTGAAGCTCTGCATGTAGCACTTTCAAAATCTAGGATATGAAAGCCCCATTCATAAGTTTTCTTTTAGTACAAAAATCATTTAAATCACTTATGTACTTTTGTAGTTACGAAATTTTAAACACAACCACCGTTTCAAAATTCTGTCCACGGATCACAAAAACGGTGTGCGTTCTTTCAGCAAAACAAAAACAATTAATACACATCCCTGTGTGATTTGTTTTCGTTTTGCTGAAAGAACACTGAACTTTTGTGTGATCCGTGGACACTGGACAGACCTTTAAACAGTGGTTGTGTTTAAAATTCCGTCGCTTGCAAAGTACATGAATGATTTGAATGATACTTGTACTAAAAGAAAGCTTATGAATGGGGCTTTCATATCCTAGTTTTTGAAAGTGCTACATAAAGAATTTCACTAAAACAATGGTCCCGACATTTGGGTTTCGGGTTTTTTTACTCAACCTGTATAGGCCTAGCTATTACAGTCTTACTGCAATTTGAGTTACATTGTCAACGATCTAAATGGTCTACTAAAGTGGGTCAGCTGATTTTAACCTCGAGATTTCCCTGTTTGTCTGCCAGCTGTTACCAGTGCAAAACTTGCTAACAATTGTTTAATGTAATTCTCACCTTTACACTCTGGTGGTCTGCGCCAGAATCCGTCTTCATTACACGTGGTATACGTCCACTCAGTCACATACATCCAATCACATAGAACCTTTACTTTGTCGCCGGGTCTGTAGGCAACGCCCTCAACGACGTCTAGATAGCCATTTGCGAACTCTACGACGTCACATGTTGTGTTGTCTGCGAAGTAAACACAAGGAAACGTATTTACACTTACAATGTTCAATTAAATGTAATCATTGTTATGCAGCTATGTAGCTCGTGGATACCAATTTGCCCGTAATTCGTTCAAATCATACGGAATCTTTCTTAAGACAAATAGCAATGGCTAAGTTTCAAAAGCTAGTCTCTAACTGCATGTAATCCGCGGAAGACGACCGATATTATTTTATGCTCGTTCAGAATTTACACCAGTTTGAATGAACTGAAACTGCCAAAGAGCGTAGTGGCAATTAAAAGGAGCATTTCAAAACGTCATTTCTTTAGCGATGCATAGTGTGATGGAGTTGGAAGGTGTTTTTGTGAATATCACTGTCTTTTCCCACGGCGGTGTGAAACACGCCGTGGGCTTGAGCTGCTTATGTTGGCTGTTTGGTACTAGGTGTGTGGGTTAGTAAGGGTGAGCTTGTCTTACATACGCAGTGTGGACTTCCGAACAAAAGACGTCCACATAATGTAGGTAGCAGCGACGAAGTGTGGACTTGCCCACGTCCACACAGTGTTTCCCCATTTCTGGAAAACAGGTTTAGAGGCATTTTTGGGTTAGGTTTATTTGTAGCAGAATGAAGAGAAACACTAAAGGGAATCATTGGAAAAAAATTGGGTTGTAAGAGTTTTCACAGTTTGAGAAAAATGAGTTTTTCCACTGGTGTTCCTTAACTACACGAAAAGAAAGGAAAGTCCACACTAGGTATGTGAAACAAGTCTGGGTGGGTAGGCGGGGTGAGTATGGGTGGGTATGGGTGGATTGGCTGGTTGGTGGCAGAGTGACCGAAAGGTCATGCCCAAATTCTGCAAAATGCACTTTAAAAATCTGTCAGATTCATCAAACATCTGCCAAATTCCCTAGAATCACTCGAAATACACTACAAATGAATAAAATCACATACAGATGCTGCAATATTGCCTTAATTAGGGTTCAAATTACATAATAAACAATATATAGTCACATGAAGACGTCATGAAATTGCTTTAATTTCACGCAGGCAAAACACGGTTGTGTCACGACGAAGGTTCCATGTGAGCCTAAGCACCTAGACCAGGCAACCTGTCCCATTATGCAAGGGTTTGTTTAAAAAGATTGAGGCTTTTTAAAACAAATGAACCATTTTTTACAAATTTATTATGTTTTTCTGTCAAATAACCATTTTTGCAGAAATCTGCCAAAAAATCCATTCTGTCAAATTTTCTGTCAAACTCGTTTTTTACGGAAAATTTTGTCAAATTTAGCCGAAATTCGGCTAAAACGGTCACCTTGGTTTGTGGACACTTTACTCGGCCATAATTGTATTTGTACAACTCAAGCATTACAGCTTTGCATTCGAAGACCAGTTTTTGCAAACACTGTTGCGCATGCGTCTAATTTGCATACTTTTTGCACATTAGATCACGCCCCATTCATTTCCGTTTTCTGTACTCTCGAGGTACCGGTACAGCCCGGATGCACGGACGGTGCCGTATAGCCGTCTTCACACGTTACCCGGCCTCGCTGCTACCCGGCCGCCGTGGGTTGTACCACTTGGTACTTGTTTAGGCTTCCTATCATTTTTTTTCTTGTGTAGAACGCGCGGGAACAATAAAAGTCTGACGATCAACTGCATGAAAATAAAGGGATCGGCGATGAATCTGAAAAGTACTTTTATTAATACCTTCTCTTTGGAAAACGGCCAGAAAGATATTACCTTGGAACGTCAGCACGAATGATACGTGGTTGTCTCGTGACTGGGACCCAGTAATGACAAATTTGACTCTAAGTTCGTTCTCATCGAAGGAAGCTACAAAGGGTGGACTGTCTTGGTTGTAGTCCATGCCCTTGAACGCCGTCCAATTCTTCCCACCGTTGGTAGAGATTTCTGGTGAAAAATAAATTAAAGTTCGAGGACAATAATATTGCAGAGTGTCATTGAGTTTATCAGAGGTCAATCACAAGACAAGTTCTTTTTCCAGGGGATGAACTCCTGACAAACGAAAGCTAATTTATTACATCTTGTTTCAGTAGCTTAGTTTTTTTGCGCAACTGAACAGGCTAGTAATAGGTATTTGATTTAAGTCTAGCTGACTCCTGATACCCGATTGTTTCTCTTGGGAAAATGCATTTAGAGCTGTGACAAGTATAATACTCACAACGAAAGAAAATTTTTATCATAATTCGATTTCACTAAATACCAAATAACATCCCAAAATGTATTACAATTAATGTACGTGTTCTTGTCTTACAAAAGAACGTATATACATGCATATCCTCAGCTTGTTTTACCTTGGATGCATGTGAAGTCAAGTCCTCAAAGTTCACCACAAGTCATTCTGTTTCAGGCCACGTGACAAACTGTGACAAGCTGAACTATATAAAGAGACATTCCTCACTTTCATCCCGTATTACCCCCGACGGTCTCGTGTTTAGACCTCTGTTATGACTTGACTTGTGATAAACTTGAGACTGACAAGAAAGCTACGACTGAATAATGTAATGAGCTCCAAACTTACGGATCTCGTCTCCATCGGCAACCTTGAACACAGGGAACTGTACTGCAGTGTCACCGTTCTCCGAAACGTCGACGATCCATTGGCAGGTGCGGCCATCCAGTGGGTAGGAGTCCGGGAATTCAGGGGAAGCGATAACCCCTTCACGTGCCTTCAAGCTCCCGCTGCAACTTCCAACAATTACTGTGGCATGCAGAGATTGTTTTTAGTGCTTTATCTATGACATGTGTGTAATTGATGAGGGCGCTTGAGATTAGTCTATGGGTGCAGATCAGTAAATCGACTCCCATAGACGTAGACCTCGGTGATAATTACGCGCACTTCCAAAAATTATTTAAAATACTCATAACTCTCAATGATCAGAAAAGGCTTATTTCATTATCTTTCATGCGCTGTTCAATGTTTGAGTGGTAATCCGATGACTTTTGGGAGAAAATTCTATCCAAATATGATCACCCCTAAATGACGTGGCCCATAGCCATTTTGAAGAAAAATGCCCGAGCTCCATTTCAAAATAGAGCAATTTTAGGGCCCAACTCCATCCGAATTTCACAGAGATACGAGCTCACAGTCCTGTACAAGGCTTCCACTAATATTTTTTACAAACCTTTTTACGCTTAAAGCCCACAAAGTACTCCAATAGCAAAACATGAGGGCATACAAATCGTGATTTGGCCCGAGTAAAGGCACTTTTGGGCCTATTTACTGGTCTGCACCCCTATCCAACAGCGCCCTCTATGGATGCTTAGTAGGAGAAGTGTGTTCTCTCTGTAAAGATTTTCCAAATCTACACGCTCTCTCCGGTTTCGGCTTCAGGAGATTTTAGATTCCTGACTTAAGAGAGTCCGGCTAAATAAAGGTCTATCTTTCAATTCACGGATATCAGTTCTAAAAATGGGGAACAACTTCAGAGTATTTTCATTTGGTTTGGAAATTTGGCTTATAAAGGTTTCTAAATGAATTTAGAGCACAGTTGCGACACTGTAACGACGCCATTTACTGGTTACCAAAAGAACAAAACGTTGTATCGTGTCTAAAAAATGACGTCGTTTAAAGCGCCCTCAGAATTGCTCAGATATATTGCCTTTGGAATAGGCATACCGACCATATAGTGTATGGAACTATGCTGAAGTCACTAGGGCGCCATCTTTGAGGACCAAAACATAACTATCAGGGGCGAATTATCACGACTCTTAATCAGATTAACTTGATTGCCACAAGCCTACGAACGTTGACATTTTATCTCCAGTAAATGCGCGTGCGTTTTCCTTATGAAGGTAAGTACGTACATCACAAAGCTGCGTTGCGTACTCTTTTAAAAAAGATGGTTTCGAGAACTTTTTTTCACCTCATTGTTAACTTTAGTTTTTGACATTTTGTAAAGAAATGAACAATAATTGATGGACGTCTATAGACTCACAACGCAACGGGGAGCAGGTTACTTTTCTAACATGTGGTCATTTAAATCAATGTGTGTCAAAGAGGCCAAGGGCGGATCCAGAACACAATTTTTTGGGGGGGCCAAAAAAATTTTTGGTTCCCCCAAAAAAGTGGGTCAAAAAAATAACGGCGTGGGGTTCGGGGCCCGCTTAAGGGCCCTGAAAAATTTTTGGATTCTAGATGTTCTGTGGTGTGATCTGAGGCGATTTCTGACCACTTTAACCAATGTTTTTTTTGAGGAAAAGATGGTGGTGTACTCATTGCCCAGCCTTTATTGCTATGTCAAAAAGTGGGTCAAAAAAATTACGGCGTGGGGTTCGGGGCCCGCTTAAGGGCCCCGAAAAATTTTTGAATTCTAGATGCTCTGTGGTGCGATCTGAGGCAGCTTCTGACCACTTTAACCAATGTTTTTTTTTGAGGAAAAGATGGTGGTGTACTCATTGCCTGCCGTTATTGCGATGTCACATAAAAAAAAAAAATTGATTTCGTTTTGGGGGGGCCATGGCCCCCTTTGGCCCCCCCCCCTGGATCCGCCCTTGAAAGAGGCGGGCATATTGAGGTAGCCAAACGATTGATTTGCTTCACTTCTTCGTGTTATCTAGTCATTACGTCAGTTATACTCGCGGTACATGCATGGCTTACCCTCGTGGACAGCCAAGTGCCCTTTAGCTCCGCAAGCCTGCGATGCTTCGCCTCCACAATCGGTCATACACTCCGTGTTGGGCGCAACTCCGTACCGCTGGAAGTCATCGCCCGCCGAGCCGCACAGGCAGTTGCCCGGGTCCACGCCTGCGTAGTGATACCCGTCCTGGCGACAAAGCCGGGCGCACTTGCTGGTGCTCATACCATCCTCGGTATGGGTCCGGCCAGACAGGGGAGGCTCGCCGTTGCCAGGTTCGCTCGTCACACAGGCTTTATAGCCAGGAACTTTGGTTGGTGAGAAGCGGAAGAGCAGGTGAAGAATCTCATTACAGTATGAACATAAGGCTCACAGAATGTACTGTACAATATCACTAGAATATTATTTTTGTGGAGTGCTGTAGCCTCGTGGTTTAGGGCATTGGGTTCGTGGTTTGCGGGTAAAGCTGCAGGTTGTGGGTTCGAGTCCAGCCCGGGGTCATGGGGCGTGTGCCCTTGGGCAAGGCACTTTGTCACTCATTGCTTCTCTCCACCCAGGAGTAAATGGGTACCTGTGAGTTAGGGCAGAGGTGGTTATTGATTGAATAAGCTTCCTTGCGCCCAACAGGCTGCATCGAGCTGTATATGCCGAGGACCTGAGATTGTATTTGGTAATCACCGACACCACGAAGTAACACTCTGCCGTGTTAAACCATATTTTTTTTCGATTTTCAGTTTTTTGGATTTTTAAACATTATTCATCAAGGCCTACCATTGCACGAAGTTTCAAAGCTTCAAGAGCTTTACTTAATAATTACGCTAAGTATCCATGGAAACTTTTGCGCAAAAGTGACAATTTTCGTTTTCGTGAAGTAACACTCAAGTTCCATTTACCATTGCAATGCATGGCGCGCACTCTGCTCATAAGTGAGCAAAAACGTTTTCACGAAGTAACACTCTTCTTGTAATAAGTTGTATGAGCGCGCGCGCTGACCTGAAGTTGCACTTTCCTCGTGTTGAATACATTGAAGAGTGTTACTTCGTGAAAACGAAAAATTACAGTTTCGCAGCCTTTTCGGTTTCACGAACTAACACTCATCTTTTTTCTCTTATTTCTTGTTTATTTAATACACAAACGGGTGAAAAACAGTAGATTTAATAAATTCATCAAGTGTCCACAACGAGAAACCCAACTGAAAATACGCTGTCGTTTTGACGCAAAGTGTTGTTTTAGAAGGCGTTCAACTTTAGTTGCCGTTTTCTCCAATTGCTAGTTTTTACTGGTATGTAGATGGGTGTTACTTCGTGGTGTCGGTGAGGTATGTTTAATTGGCCTATTTAATGTAAAGTGCTTTGATTTTAGTTGAAAGTAAGAACCCGTTATTATTATTATTAATTTTAAACCAAAGGAGGATTATTAAAATGAAGAAGTCATAAATTTTGTAGTTCTATTTTTTTTTTAGCACACTGATCACAATTTTATTTAAAATCTATGATGTTCAGCAGAACTGATGGTCTGAATCTGATACATCATAAAGCTGTACAATTTTCAATTAATTTTAACCATTTTCCCAGCCTCAAGAGTTGGGCCCCTTCGCATGGTTTATATTCTGCATAGGCCTGCTGTTCCCGTCGGTAAATTGTTCATTTGTATTCTATTAATTTTGGATTACGAGTGTGCCTTAAAGCAACTTTTTATTGAAGAGCGTTCCCTCTTCGCACAAATTTGTCACGCAGGATCAAATACAGGACTTCTTCTACAAAACACGGATTCTCCCATAGTGTTTTGGCTATACACTTTAATGGGCAATTTAAAATTTTCAAAATGTGGGTAGGTGGGTCAAATAAAATAATTTTAAATGAAAATTCACTTTTTCTTAAAAGAAAGAAGAGAAAAAAAGAAGCTATTTCAGCTTGCCGGTACCACCCGCCCACGTTTCCGATTCGTCTTTTTTTTCTTATCAACTCTGTCCCCAAATATAGAGACAGGGTCGAGTGTGTATGAGCGACCCTGTGAACAGCACGGGACGAGGTGGTGTTCCAGTGAAGTACACTTGATATCAAGCTATTGGCGTTCGTAGCTGTGGGCCTCTCGACAGGAGCGGGGTGCCGGGTTCACTCGACATAGGCCTGCATGCTAACGGGATCAACTGGACTGTAACGTACTTGATTTCTCCATTTGGAATGGTCTCTAACGTTAGAAAAAGGCTTTTCAGTGCAGCCTGGTGTTGTTTTGTTTTGTTTGTTTCGTTGTTTTGTTTTGGTTGGGGTTTTTTTTGGGGGGGGGGGGGGGGGGTAACACGTTTTGCACAAGTACACTGTAAAAACACCTTGTTAGATTTGACTATAGCAAGCAGTCAAGCTCAGCTGACTACTGACTACAGCTAGGTTGACTGCTATTTTGTAGTCAAACTTAACTCGTGTGTATTTAGATTGCATGTTGTTTTCTCCACCACATCCACCAATGAACTTACTGACGCAGTCCATCTTGACATCGAGCGCATGCGTACATGACGAGGTGTCGTTGGAAAACGAACATCCATCTAGCCTCTTTTCCGTGCCGTCGCACTTGACCATTGCCATGTGCACGGGGCTGTTACCGTCGACTTGGCTAAAACTGTGAGTGCTGTTCGGAGACATGACACCACCAAAGGCGCCTGTAACAAAAGGCAAACGAATCGGAAACATGAAAATACATTTTTAAAAACATTTTATTCATAAAGTTTTAGAATCAGAAACATAGTCAATTAAATGCAATCAATCAATTGGTACAATTTTATTCAACGTTGTTTCTTACATAGTCTAAAACTTAATTGTATAAGTACATGTATATAAAACAAAAAATGAATCTACTTAGTGTGAATCAGCAACATACATAATGGAACAACGTTAGGTAGAGGGTGAAGCATTTAGCTTTCGTTCCTAACCTTTGGACAGACAATTACAATGCATGTGACGAATAGCGACAAAACACAAGGACAAGTAAGAGTATAACAACAAGCAGGAGTAACATTAGACATTAATTAAACGTTATCAATAACAGTTACATTGAGGTTTAAGCTTTTTTTTACGAATATAGATAAAAGTATGGATAATTTAATCGGGTCACTCACATAGGACAATACCTGATTTTGCCTTAATTAAATACCTTTTTGGGGCAAAATTGCTAATGTATACTGTACCTTAATAATAATTGTGCTTACATAGCGCTTTTAATCGTATCAACAATCTCAAAGCGCTTTACAATTATTACCCCGTTCATCAGGCCATGGGACCACGCGGCAGCCGATATCAGCGCTCAATCGGTCCTTGACCCTCACAGGTACCCATTTATACTCCTGGGTGGAGAGAGGCAATTGCAGTTAAGTGTCTTGCCCAAGGGCACAAACACCATGTTCCTGGTACGGTTCGAACCCACGCACTTTCCTACATGAGTCAAACACCGTAACCCCTGGACCATGGCGTTCTACCTTATATATACGGTTTCCTTTACCTGTTTACAGATACAGGGTGAGTCAAAAAAACGAAACCCAAATGTCGGGACCATTGTTTTAGTGAAGTTCTGCATGCAGCACTTTCAAACTCTAGGATATAAAAGTCCAATTCAAAAGCTTTTTTTGTACAAGAATCATTGAAATCACTCATGTACTTTTTAAGTAAACGGAGTTTTAAACACAACCACCGTTTTAAAGCTCTGTCCACGGATCCCAAAAAAGGTGTGTGTTCTTTCAGCAAAACGAAAACTATTCACACACATCCTTATGTGAACTTTTTTGTGATCCGTGGACAGAACCTTACAACGGTGGTTGTGTTTAAAACTCCGTAACTTGAAAAGAACATAAGTGTTTTGAATGATTTTTGTACTAAAAGAAAGCTTATGAGTTGGGCATTCATATCCTAGATTTTGAAAGTGCTTCATGCAGAACTTCACTAAAACAATGGTCCCGACATTTGGATTCGTTTTTTTTTACTCACCCTGTATACACACCATTCAGTATCAGGCAAACTGCATGCAGCAAGTGCTAGCGTATATACACTGCTCAAACGCCACCATGTATAAAAGCATATTCAGATTAAATTCAATTTCACTTTCTCATCCCTTACGGGAAATTCCTTTTGGCATTTTACATAACACACCTTAATTAGTACATGGTAACACTTTAACAAGTTACCATACTTGAACAAAGACTCTGACTGAATGGGGAACCGCCAACATAGGACTGGATACCTCAGTTAGAGAGCACCGGAACGGTTATCCGCAGGTCGCATGTTTGAAACCCCGCTCCAGTTAATTTCTTTGTTCAATGATATGATATTAAGAATTTCAAAGATATTGGGTCGTCGATTTAGCACATGGAAAGGGAGCCTGAAGCCGAGGCCTGTATAATTATATAGAGCTGAGCGCATCCATGCACACATACCGATTTGTCTGCAAACGACTCGTGCGTCGTTCTCATCCCACTGCTCATCACCGCACACGGTGCCCCAGCTCCCCTCAGAATGCACCTGCAGATAGCCTTGAAAAGCGTGGGTACCTCCAATAAGTCGCAGATCACCCTCTTCTGTGGCTGAAATCAAAAGGAATCCACATAAGTGTTTAGGTAACATCGAACACCGAGCCTCTAAATATTTCTCCGGAAAGTCGGAATTTGATTTCCCTCCACTCAAAACAGAGGGGGAGTCGATTATTGTATTGCTTGGCGTTTTCTGCGCGTGCGTAGAAGATTTCATAAATATAAAGTAGCATGCCATACACAAGAAACTTTTGTTTTATAACAGAAAATAAAAATTTGAAAGGAGAATTGGGAAATGAGGCGCAGCGCATGCACAGTTTGTGCAATAACGCACATTGTCGTAGATTAGATGTTTATCCTTTTATTAGTATTTAATGTGGACAAAGGGAACTGCCATTTTGAATTAACAGTTAACATCAGGAGGGTGCAACAATGAAGGAATGTGTTCCGTTGTACGTTTCTGGTTGAGAACGTTAATTAAAATGTTGCTCATGTACCCTGCTCGATACCATCGTCCAGAAGCTACAAAGGGAACAGCGCAGGATAGACAAGATGGTTTATCAATCCTTTACCATATGGAACGGCGATCAAGCATGTGCGCTATCAATTCCAAAGGTATCACTGAAGGATTTAAGAGTGACCATTTTACCAGACTGCAATGAATTCCTGCAGGATTACACGATTCACAGCACACGGGCGCGTGCGCTATAAATAAATTCTATATGATATTACTTTTCCATGCAGATCGATTACGGAAAAGGATATGCGATGAGTTGCAATAAGTGATTCCATATAGGCCTAGATAATGTATACCGTAAGAAAATAGGGACACGTGGCAATGGAATCCTATACGGCTTAAAGGGACACTACGTCCTCGTAAGTGCCAATTGGGCTACAAAACGCGTTTTAAAATGAAATAGTGTTCATTGGAAAGAACATTAATGTAGGATGTAAACGTCCACACATCTATCCTTTAGTGGCCGGTATTGTGTTATTCTTGCGAGAACGAATTTCGGGGGTCAACATTTTGACTCTCAAAAATGTATCTCCAGTTTGGGTGCTACTCGTGATTCCAGTCGTTCATGTTCCATCAGTGCATCGCATTCTGCGTCACACATACGACGTGTACCGTATACCTTCGTACATTGAATTGTCTGACATTATATCATGGACACAGAAGCTGGGGGCATGCAGAAGACTTATATTTACGGCTGGAAGTACGTATGCGTATGCCACAAAACGTACGCTAAGTCAGAAATAAACAAGCGAGTTTTTTCCCGTCTTTTCTCAGGAACACCGCGAAATTAGGTTTAACCTACCAGACCTTTGACATAGCATGAGCAAAAAATGTATTTAAACCATAAGAAATGCGTCGATTTCAGGACGATGTGCCCCTTTAACTCCAAACCTGGGTACCTTGTAGATCCCGGTTAAATGTAACAATCATTCGGGGTTTTACAACTAGTTAATGCAAGTTTGATTCAAATGTTGAAAATTCCTGATTTTTAGTGTTGATAGGAACGATTGCAATTGGTATAATTATTTTCACGTCATGTCTATTGTTTTAGTTTCCCAGTGTAATCATAGATGTTTGTGAATAATGGAGACATCCATGCAACTTATATTTTATCGTGCCATGAAATTATAGTGCAGAAAAAAATCTATGGTACGTTTACGACGAATTACAAACAGGAACTTCAAATCATTAAGCACAATCAAGGAAATGAGGCACAGATTCTAACGCCAAATAGATGATTCGCAAATTTGGTATTAAGGGTATAAATTAAAGATGATTTAGCTACACTAATAAATCTATACAGTGGGCTTTAATCATGGCCCTATTATCGTGAACTCTCCAGTCCCTTTCTGATGTGTATTCTAATATGCATGCCTTCTGGGCTTCAACGCTCCTGATATTCTCAACATGCTAAAGCTCGACCGGAGGGCAAATTCGTCACAGCTTGCTAGCCTGATGATATGCAATGCAAAGTCCTTCATCTTGCGACATATCCAATAGGATCCATGTAGAACCACAAGAAGGTTGGAGCAGTCTTTAGTCAATATGGAATGAGCTACGGTCCCTTTGTCGTATAAAATCTGTGACTCTGTTTTTGAAAACCTTGTAGTGATTGATGTTGTAACAACATAATCCAGTAACTTGTTTCAGTCAAAAGGGAAAATGTGTATGCATCTGTACTTTATTATTGATCACTGTGCAGGACATGCTGGGAAACGGTATAGGCCTAATACATCAAATACTTCAGAATGATGAGTCATTGGATAATGATAACAGTGCGGCGCATTCGGCCAGATGTACTTTGAACACGGACATGATAGAGGGAGTTAGAAGATGTAAATCAACATTTTGGCAAAACATAATAATCATTGCTCAAAAACCTGACGACACCCTCTTTATAATAGTAGCTACAAATCAAAGTGAAAAGAAAAAGATGATTGAACAATTATCTTCAGATTTCAGCAGATATTTGTAGTTTGTAAACACGAAGCCATTTTCCCACGCGAAAAAAAATTCCCCATCTCCGAGTACTAAGGAAACTGTGTTAGTCATGTGTTCATTTTGAAGCAGGTATTCAATACACAGCAACGTTATAAAGGAGGCAGTCTAAGAAAAAAAACTAACGTAATGTGTCAAATATGAAAGAAAATTGACAAATGATAAGCATATCACTGCTACTTGTTTTCATAACACGCACGCTTGTTTCAATGTTTTCTTATACATAGTTGAGTGTAAAGAACGATGGATAAGAATAAACGCATGTAAAACAAAAGTGGTGGTTGTTTGCTTCAGATAGTTTTTAAACATGACGAAAATATGTCAGCAGCATATCTGAGCAACCCACACTTGTCGGCCTCATACTGCAGCCCATAACGAAACGCATTGTTTAAAGAAAAGTGTGCCAAAAAGCTAAGGGTCTAAAACAAATAACTCGACGTACAATGTTTATCGTTGTCCATTTTCCATAGCATGCTTGGGCGGAACTAGCTTTCATGAAACGAGGGGGTTGATATGAAGGGGGGGTGAGTGAAGGCGTGTCGAAGGCACAAGTGACAAATATTTTCAAGCTGCAGACTTAGAAACAAAATCTTAATTTACCGTCTTGAATGGTACACAATACAGCGTTTCTAGTGTAAATCGACTGAAATAATGTATCCTCTAGTCTAGCTTTTTCTCGAGTTATGAATCATTTCAAATTACTTTTATATGCCTCCAGGACATTGCAAGAGCCTCCCTTCCAAAAAAATAAAACTGCATTTTAGTAAACATTAGTCAGCAGCTAAACGGGGGGGGGGGGTGCCACTCCCTTCCCCGATCTGCTGCTGACACGGAACTCATTAGGACCGTAAAAATACATACAAATTGATGTCAGGCAACGTGAAAAAAAGCCTTTCCTTAAAGTATTCAAGAGTTACAAAACTGCAGACAAATTAAAAAGAAATTAGAAAGTACAGAAGTTACTTGCATGGCAAGAAAAGAAGGATCGAGTCACCAATTAAGCTATATGTATTACGCAATCATCGCTATGTAAATAGCTTGTGGATGGTGCTCAGCTGATTTTATGCTCAGCATATTAATTTGCAAATCAACATTATCTGCATCAGCATGAAATTTGTATTAAACAGTCAGCAAGAGTATAAGAGCTTACCCCGTCATTTGTTTCTGCTTTTGCATTTTGAAAACACTTTGGCTTAGCCTTACGATGAAAAATCATACTCAACGGGGTATTAAGTGCGATTCAAACTGCTTACAGTTTCTCTTTAAATCGATGAAGTGTGTTTCACAGCGGCATCCTATATACGGACGAGCGCGTCTATTTCCCCTGTTTTGTCAATGATGATGATGATTCTTAAACCCCAGGCCTAACAGAACACGATAACGTCGTGTAATGTAGAGGGCCCGTGGTCTATACGCGACGGAACATTGCGACACAGCGGGAAAGGCTCTTGGTCCATACATTCTAAATGCCACGTCATTATTCTAGAATGCATATCAGTTGTGTTGATGTCAATATTTTCTACATCTTCTATGCACTAAAGAGCTAATACAAAATAAATGACGCATTTCTTTGCTTTACAAAATGAAAGAGAAGAATGTTAATTAGGAAGTCCATGTATGGAAAACCAAACAAAACAACCTTAAAAACCTTCTCAAATTAAATTGTATGACTGAACTTAAAACGATGAATCGGGTTGGAAACTTTAAACTTCGGAACACCATATACCAATGATTGACCAATCATGAGCCACCCAGTGCGATTTTGACGGACCCCAGAGTCAGGCAATATCTTCGTCTGGGAGCGCTATATAGTCAAAAGTTATTTTTGATGAATTAAAATCAACTCAAGAAAGATTCCCAAGGCGCCTTTTCTTTAAATGTCTCCTTTCACAATTTTGGTGCAAAATTTGAACAGTCATAACTTCCAAACAAGACCGCTTTGTGGAGGAAAAAAAGATCAAATGGCAGAACATATTATGGATTTATAAGGGGATTGCTGTAAGTAATACTTTGCGACAAAAAGTGGGTTACTTCAGTGACGCTTTCAAAAGGCAAGGCTTACAATGAGACATCCTCAACGTACAAACTAATGCCAACAAAAACCACAATTTCATGAGAATAAAGACAGACAAAAAAATTGAACTGCAAAGTATCTCGGAGGAGAACCTGACCTTGTTATGGAAAAAAATAACAAAGACTAATGATCATAGCAAGTACAACAAAAAAGAGTATCAATCGGCACAGCTTCTTAATGAGAAGTGTTACTGAATGCAAAGAAAAGCTGCTTAAATGTCTTCCAGCCAGTCCCCTTCAGACTTCCTTATAGATATTCATGATGTTAAATAAGGAGCATAGTTTCAGTCCACTAATCTATGATACAGTCTGTAGTGGGCATGCATGTCTCAACACGTACTCACGCAGCATGACTTAATGTGATCAAGCAAATATTCTAATACAAAATATTTGTAAATTTTTGTTTCTTACTAAGAGGTTATAAATGTGCTACTATATAGGTGTTTAAAGTGCGATATGAAGATTG